TTTCTCGACAGGAATAAGCTATTTTATTAGAAAGTGCAAGCATGTTTCCAGCAAAATTCCTTACTGGGTATGCTTCCAAATGTGTCACGAAAGGTCTACAACGATGTTTCTTAACATTTATTAGCTACAGATTTGAAGAAATCACAAATAAACAACCTCATTATCAGTTTATTGGCAGTGTATTGTATGTACGTGGAAACAAATAAAATAAGACGAGTGTTACACAGTAATACTCACAACCACAGAAATGAAAGTCAGTAATTGGAGTATATACTACCTTTTGACAAAGATCTACTTTTAGACTTTCCTAGTAAATGTACAGCCATATTTAATTTAGCCATACGTCTTCGTCGTCTTCTAAAACATCTATCGTCTTCTCCTTGTACTGCAGGTTTTCGATAAGATTTAGTCATTTGTGGTTCCCATATTTCAAAAAGTCTATGAATCATACCCAGTCCAACAGCTGGTTTAATGTTCTGTTTGATTTCCTTTGGTTCTAAAGCAGATATTGGCCTCACTATTTTCGTTGGTCCTTTCAATACTGGACGGTAAGTTCCTGCTGTTTGTGGCCGACTTAAAGATGAGGTTGTCGTCTGCGCTCTACTGGCAATTGATGATATTGACCGCGCACTTGGAAATCTGTCGCCTGAATCTCTCCTCAGATTATTTGTTGGGGTACTCGTAAGAATTCGTCCAACTAAACTCGTTCTTTTGATTAAATCCTGCAACTGTTTGTTTTGCCATTTTGTTTTTGGTGGCGGCGGAATAAATTGTATTTCCGATGGATACTGCTCCTCTACAGTTATTATAATTTTTGGTCCTATATTGGACATGGTTAGTCCACAATCAATGCTGCACTGGTTAGATATTCATGTTTTTTGCTTCAAAGAGCATTCAATGTTCCAAAAGAAAATCTTGTCCTTACACAGTATTCTTTTGCTATTTTGTGAAACAGAAAACAGTGATGTGTCGTCTTTTGACAAAATAGAACCTTTAAAGCATCCAATTAGCAAAGTTTTGAACCCATTTAACCGCAAAGCAATAATCCATATGTAAATATCAATATTTATATCAAATGTACACAATTTACATATTTAAAATTATGATTCAATACCAGTTATTGTTTCAGATAAAAAGCTATGTCATGATTTTAAATCATTGTCTTTTTAAATACATCTGATATCGGATAACGCTTCGACTTAAAACAGTGTCGGGTTGCTGATAAGACACAACTTGTAGCTGCTTCAGAAATATCTTTTGTACTGCATTAATAGCATATCAGTCGGTAATCTCAAAAGTCGTCTGTTATCCGTTCGGTCCACCTCGTTGTTAATCGATGCGGCACGCACCATCTGGGTTACGCACGATCACACCTCAAGACAAAACTAAAGAGAACATTTATTTAAACTAAAATTTAAATGCCGTTTTGAATACAAGTATCAATGCGAGATTTATCCATTTATTGAGGGAAGATTATACGAAGTGCTGATTACTTCACAAGCTGCAAAAATATGAAACAATTTGACAAATTCAAATCAGTCCAGGTTTAAACTTCTTTTGAATTAACTTGAAGCGCTTATAAAAGTTCATTGAGATTTATTTTATTCGAATTCATGTGAATTATGGACATTTTCACCGAAGTTAATTAAAACTAAAATAAACTGATGTCTAGGTTTTAATCCTGTAATTCCACGTTAAATAATAAGCTTCATTGTGACAATTAAAAGTCTTAATCTTATTTGAAAAGGCATAAGTTCAAATTTTCAAATGACACCACTGCACAAACATGTACAATTGTTCCATTTTCAACAAAACACTTATGTCATGCAGAACTGATCACTTTTGTCGCCATTAAAATCAAATACAGCATAGTTCATCCTTATATACAATAAACAAGAGGCTGTCAAGAGCCTATGTCGCTCACCTAGGTATTATTAGAGACGTATATATATATAATGCAATTATATGTCTCTGGTATTATATGTGCATCTTCAACAATAAACACCCTCCAAAATTGTTGACTAGAATATAATTCATACAAAAATCTCTTTTTTGTTGATCTTGTATTGCTGATAATATTTTCTGTTCACCACAGTTCCTCTCTATCTTCTTTAGTGTTTGCCCAAAACACATTAAGGGCAATATCTCCTTAAAGAGTCAAAGAACGAATTGATGATTTCGGTAATGTTTGACCTACTTGCAGATTTTGTCTTGGTGATCATTTTTGCTCTTTTTTAAAGTTTCCATCTACATCTATCTATTATAGCTTTAAATGAATTTATATGATCATCTAGAAATACTGTGAGTCGACTGCTCAAATAGCATCCCCCCCCCCTAAAACAGAAAAGAAAGACATGCCCATTAAACGAATAAAGTTCCACAACTCCGCAATGTAATATCAGAAATTTATATAAAAAGGAAGCGTATTTCAATACATATAAACAAGTCACAAAAGTTTCATGAAAACTGCTCAAAGACTTTTGAGTTCTAGTCTGAACCTGGAAAATCACCCATTTTTTTATGAATAAAATCCAACGGCTCGAAAACGTAAAATCATAATTTTTTTAAAATCGAAAGGGAGTTTATGTCAATAGATATAAACAATTCACTAAAGTTTCATGAAAATTGGTGAAAGCCTTGTTGGCTTATTGTCCACAGTCACGGTTGAGGACGGACGGACGGACAAAGAACGGTATACCATAATGCATCCCGTATTTAAAGACGGACGTATAGCAATAAGAAGTATCGGCAAACAGTAAGTAGATGAAAGATCTGAAAAGTCTTCACACGTTACAATTCATCACTGTCAATGTACTGACCAAATATTCTCAATTGTATCGTAGATAATGTGACGGCAATAATTGCTGGACCGTCACGGGATGGACAGACAACGTGAATCGGAGGTATTCGGTACAGGATTCGGTGTATAATAAACTTTTATAAAAAAGAATAGACTATTGAGACAATTGTTTCGGGCAAATTTTATAGGTATTTAAAACTGTTCACTAAATGGATGTCGTCCCTTAACTAGGGAATAATGATTTCATGTTTATTTACCAGCTTAGTAGCTAAGTTAAACTAAAAAAAAGCAGATTGGTACATGTAACAAACATTTCCGTGTTATATTACAAATAGACAATGATCCAAAACAGACTGATCAACTCAGCCAAATATTAACGGTATGTAAAAAAAAATCCAGGACCAGATCAAACACGAAACAAAATAAGTCTGAAATATGCAGGTTTAGAGTTTCCTTCTTAGCCTTAACTTTTCTACACTTGAAGCAATTTAGAGCTAGATATTTAGTGTATAAACACTAAGTCTTGTCTATTGTTGACAAGCACAAGATGATATCAAGATGTATGAATATACATATTTAAAATGAAATGTATCCTTTTATTTGTATGTTTTAATAGGTCAAAATTAAAGTAAGTGGCAAATTACATACCTTCAAATGAGGATCTCTATCCTAACTTTAGCCTATTTTATTCAATATTTTAAAGAATTTGGGGTTTTTTTGGTATTCTTTTCAATATTTTCATGATTTGGTTTTTGGTATTCTTTCAATATTTTTACGATAGTCTTTTTTGTATTCTATTCATTTTTTTTGAAATTTCCTTTTTTGAAATAAATCTCCACATAACTATGCTTCTGGCAATACTTGATCAGAACATGACAATTTTGTTTACAAAATGTAATTTCTGATTTGAAGAAGATATAAATTCATTTCAAGACCTTCAAATAAAAGGCAAGGTAATCCAGAAAAATTCTAATCTATCATTTGTAGGCAGAAATACCCATGACAAAACAGATTTTTTTATTCAAATGGTCTTAATATATCACGAAGTTATTAAATTGTTAGATGTTGCTATTGACTTAATCTTTGTACACTTATTTCAAATTTTTGTCATAAGGCTGCAAGGAAATAAAACATTTTGAAGATAATTGGATAAACATTTAAACAGATTTAGTAAATTTACCATACATTATTCCTTAATTGTGCAAAAATTTAGTTGTTGTCCTCACACCTGGTATATAAGTGGTAAAAATAACACAGACATTTAAACAAAATACTTCAAGAGCCTGAATTGCTCACCTTGCAAAAATATGCCAATTTGATATTCTATTTAAATCTTTTTCACTATAATTTTTTTCTTTCTTTCAGAAACAAGTTACTTATCTAATATACAGGGCCATTTTTTTTATTCTTCAGTTTAGTTGTTTACTTAAAATCACAAATGCATTTATTTTTCATAAAATCTGTGACTTGATGTTTCAGTCATATTGGCCTTTTTGTAGACCTTGCTTGTATTGATAAGCATTTTTTGCTGCTCACAGTTTCTATCTATAATAGTTTTCAAGATATTTAGGGTGGGGAAAATTAAGTCAAAAAGTTAGGAAGGTAAGCCAGAACAAAACTAATATATAATCTGACCATGTTAAAACACTGTTGTACCAATCACTTCAATATCCATAATGATGCCTAAAATAAGCAGAAAAGTGGTGCAATTTATATTTCGATTGACTTTAAAAAGGTCAAAAGTAAGTTAAGTAGATCATAGATAATACACAATCTAAAAATTTCATTATACATGTACAAAACATTAAGTCATATATCTGCAACAAGGGGTGCCAACAAAAGAATTTTGGATAACTGTGTGAAACTAAAGGAATATAATATTTTGTTTTAAAAATTGCAATACAACATACTGTACAACAGACAGAAGGACACTTCCGTTCATAATGGTCCTTTCATCTAGAACTTGCAGTCATAAAATTTTGAGTAGGATAGAATGCAAACAATCAAAATGCTGGATTTGATGTTTTCAAGCACAAATGTTGTACACTGAGTATTAAGTAAAATGTTATGACTGTAAGCCAAGGTAGGGCTAGGTTAACAAAAAAGTACAATTTACTCAGATGTACTCTTGTATGTTTCAAACAAATCAACTAAAATGTAATTGTTACTTTTTTTGTTTAGATATATAAGTTACACTGAGTATCATTCTGATTACAAAGTTTAATTAGAAAATATAAACAAAAATAAATTGTTCATCATATGCTGATTAACTTCATCTGATTCACACAAATAAACAGGATCAAACAGGCAGATTAAATTATAAAAAACACATCTTCATACAAGAAAGAAAAAAGATGAAACATATATAACAATTTAAACATATTCATGAAGATGTAAAGGATTTAATGTTAAAACAACTAATATGAATACACTTTAGCGAAATCAAAAATTTACCTTAAGAAGTTAAAATAGTATTTATAGCCACCAAAGTACTAAATCATTCAGTAGAAAGGACTTTCATGGAAATGATGATATTTCATTACTCTTATGCATTTGAGATTAATTAATTTTTCATTTGATATCTTTTGAATGTCTCCTAACCATCCATCAATTTTGTTTCAGTCAAAGGAATACTGTACATGAATTTAATACACTCACAAAACTTAATTCTCAAAATTTGGAACTGTTGTGTATGATATGCACATCAACAGATGAAAATATAAATTTTATTACAATCCAAAAAGTATTGAAGAATTTATGTTTGTAAAAAAATATTGATGTTTGGACGAATTGAAAAATTTAGGACTTCCACCTGATAGATGTCAAATCTTAATTAAAAAAAAACTGATATATATAACAATGATTAAAATTTATGATACATCTGGAAAAGAAAATATATACAGATATGAAAAAAAAAATGTTACAATCAAATAATTGAAAATCAAAATCACCTTAATGTTCAATTATGAAAGTTTTCAGATTCATGTTATCATAAACATATTTCATATCTTTCTATGCCTCCAATAATCAGCAAGTACCAATTTGATTGTTAATTCTTTGGGATTTTGAAGACAACTATTAAGGTCCATTTTTTTTTATTCAACTTCCCCAGTTAAAAAACCATTTCAAAAGGAGTGAATGTGGAATCATATCTTTAGCCAAAAACACTAGTCCATCTAAAGTAAGTCTTATCATGCTAATATTCATTTAAATTACAGATCTAGAAAAAAGAGAAAATCCCCCCGCCCCCCGAAAAAAAAAAGGAAAAATAAAATCTCATTGGATCTCCTTGTTTTTATGTTAACAACATAAATATAAAAAAAAATTATTGATTTTACTTGCTTGTCATCCATTGACAAAAAAGGATAAAAATTAACACACCTCTGCTTAAAAAAAGTAAAAATTGTATGGCCTTGTCTGAAATCTATCAGTTCCATTTTCTATTTAAGACAGTACAATGTATAAACCTTTTAAACAAAATATATACAGGTATGCATGAGTTTTTTTATGAGAACTAGAGGATTTCCATTTTAAGAGAAAGTTGACAGCTTTTTAATTTGCAAATGATATGTTTCTCAGAGTGTGAGTCAATGATAATGATATAAAAGCTAATATGAAGATAAAAATTTAACTCCACTTAATGGTAAAGTCAGATTGTAGAGGTAAATTTAACATTGTAATGTTAAGAAGTTTGTATTTTTCTCTGTAGAAAAGTTTTAGTGCACCTAATCCATGATCAATTTGACTATAATCTACATCATTTATCAATAAAGTAGTTGGTTTTTTCTCCAGGCCGTAAACAACAACATGATCAAAGGACAGCTCATCAATAGCACTTGTACCATTGTGTTTAACATTGAATGAAAGTATTTTATTTATTACCGCTGCATCAGATGTGAAGTATTCACCGTTTTCATATGCATCTATAGATTCCCCATCATCCCAATACTGCTTGCCTGCAGCAGTCCCATTTTCGTCTAATGCCACAAGCAGTCCCATTCCTTGCTTCCTGCTAAATACAGTTGTGTTTGCCGGAGTCTGAGTATGGATTATGGAACCTCCTCTGATAAATATTGGAATGATGTGCTTTGGTGCAAAGATAACATGTTTCATTTTAACTGGAGTAATTTCCTTACCATTGTAATAGTCATACCATCGACTCTCTGGGAAGTACACCTCAACATGTACTTGTTTAGGTCTAAGAACAGGAGCAAACATTAGAGAAGTTCCCCACATAAATTGTGTGTCAATATCCCATGTAAGTTTGTCAGATGGGAAGTTGTGAACTAACGACCTGATTACAGTGCCACCTTGTGAATGTGCTTCAAAGAATAAATGGTACAAATAAGGGAGTAGATAATATCTTATTTCCAAAACTCTTCTTGAGGAGGCAGCAACAGTCTTGCCAAAATATGCTGGATCTTGAGGTTTTGTACCAATAGTATTGTGATTTCTGGAAAATGTATAAAATGCTCCGAGTTGCATCCATCTCTGACATAATTCTGCATTTGAATCTCCAAAAAAGCCACAAATATCTGCTCCAATGTAGGGAATGCCAAACAAATTGAATTCCATGATTCCTATAATGGAGTAATGAAGGTCTGGCCATTCACTGTTGTTATCTCCTAACCAGTGACCAGTATATTTACCACTGGACGGGTAGGTAGAACGACTTATCACCATACCTCTTGTTTTACCACCTAAAGCGTAACGCAGCCCATCTAGTGTTGGTTTCGTCTGACTCCACCCATATAAGCTATGAACATTGTAATGAAGATACTTGCCATCATTTTGAAGGGCTACCATGCATAATGTCTTATCAGATAATCTTGCTCCATAGATCCCTCTTGGTTTGTAAGGAGGATCATCTACCTTAGATTCAGGACATTTCAAACTCCAGTAAGGTTTAGAACTTTCTGGCCAGTTGAAAGGTCGCTCTTCATTTGTACCAAAATTAGCTGGTTCATTCATATCAATCCATAATCCATCAAATGATATATTTTTATGATGGCTGATAATTAGTTCTTTCCAATATTCATGAGTTCTATTATTGAGAAAATCTGGGAAAACAACTTTACCTTTAGGCCAAACATAACCTAACATATTGGTATTGCTGTATTCACTAAAATCTGGATGTGTATTGTCTGGCCATTTTATAAATACATCATATTGTAGACCTTTTTCATAAGGTTCATATCCCGTATTGTTTGTAATCAGTGCTGGATCCAGAATAATGATAATATGCATTCCTCTACTTTGTAAATCTTTAACATAATCTGGAAGACCACCGAAATTGACAGAGTCTATTGTGAAATCTTTCCTTTCATCCATATGATCGATGTCAGCATACTGAACATCAAATGGAATACCTGCATCAATTGTTCTCTCTGTGGCCTCTTTCAAAGTTTCAAGATTATTGTAGCCATATTTACAAAGTTGGAAACCTAGTGCCCAGTATGGAGGCATGTATGGCTTCCCAATTAGAACTGATGTATACTCCCTGATAACATCCTCAGGAGTTGGACCAAAAAACAAATAGAAGTCCAGAATTCCACCAGTAGTTCGATAGGCCAGAGTAGGATGTGGCTGTAATACTATTTCCATGGCATTACTGTTCAACAACAAAACACCATGTGCATTCCCATCATCTTCTACACACATATAAAATGGATGTACTCCATATAAATTGGCATCATCACCCCAATTTACTCCATTATCTCTTGAAAACATTGGCCATCTCTCATAGTCAAAATTATGACGGAACTTTTTATGACGATTTTCCCCAAATCCATAAACATTCTTCGAAGGTAGTTTGGTAACAAACTGTAGAAATTGATCTGCAAATGTTAACCCCCCTACAGATGTATCCCAGATCACAGCTCCATTACTCTTTCTTGTTACATTAAAGGAAAATATACCATGAACATCATTACCATAATGTACATGGTAATCTGTTCCCTCTCTATCAGGTGGTAGAATTTTGTTAAAGTTTACTGGAACCTCATATCTATCATCTGAAGGATCTATAATCTTTACTTGCAGAAGTCTATGTGAATGCTGGGTTATTACCATTTGAATTACTTCAATATCATCCTGAAACATTTGAGATTTATTTTGCCACTTTAAATCAATTTTTGTTCTTGTACCATTACTTGTTTTGGAGGTTTCTGTGTAGCCATATATAGAGGTATTGATGTAGCATTGTGGAACAGAAGGAGACTCCTCTATAGGAGCCCAGATACACCCACGCCTTTTACATTCTATGGTGTTAATATCAATCAATGACCGGTTTTTATCAATGTCAGGAAAACAATCTATTCTCAAAGCCACATCCTCCTCTGGATTCTTTTCATTTTTCCATTGTACATAAAAACTGTTATGCATTGGTAGCTTTAAGTTCGTTATTCGAACTATATGAGATTCCTTAGTATAATTAACCAACTGCTGGGGATGCTCTTTACCATTCACATAAATATATACTTTTTCCCAATCCTTAAAGATGCCAAGAATTTCTATATCATCTATAACTACATCATGAGTTCCAGTTGTTTTATTTTGAAAAACGTCCATATTCAACATGTTATTTCTACATGCAAAAACACCATAAAAATAGTTCCCATTTTCATAATTATCTTTTCCTTCTCCATCATCCCAGTAAAAATTTCCTGAGGCATATGTATAGTACTGATCACTTGTTAGAGCTACTTTCAACGTTATAGGATTTTTACGACTATAGTGTGTATTATTAGCTGGTTCCTGTAAGGGTAGAACAAATCCTCCTCTAATGTGCAAAGGAATAGGAGAATCTGGCTCTACATCCATTTCATAATAATTGGAATCAGTATAATTTACTTCTATACCTGTGTACCAATCATACCAAGTCTGACGCGGCAGGTAGTACCTCAAATTTGTCTGTCCTTCTCTTAAGATTGGTGATATCATCAATGCTGGTCCCCACATAAACTGCTCATCAATATCGAAAGTCTCTTTATCTTCAAATTCATTATGCAATGGGCGAATAACCGTTGATCCAAAGTTAGAAAATCCTGTATGTGCAGCATAGAATAGTGTATGTAGATAAGGCAGTAGCCAGTATCTTGTTTCTATAGCTTGTCTAGCAGCTCTAGCTACATCTTCTCCTAGAGCTCCTGGATCTTGCTCTATATTACCTAATCCATTATGATTCCTACTGAATGTGTAGAATGCCCCAAGCTGCATCCACCTTTTACAAAGTTCAGGTGTTGTGTTTCCAAAAAATCCACATATATCTGCTCCAATGTAAGGTATTCCAAACATGTTGAATTCTAATATCCCTATAATGGATAACTTCATGTCTCGCCATACTGCAGAATTATCACCAAGCCAATGTCCTGAATATTTACCACTTCCTGGGAATGTTGAACGTGAGATAACTATTCCTTGTTTTCCTGTAGCTGCTTGAAGAGCATCTAGTGTTGGTGGTGTCTGACTCCATCCATATAAATTATGCACATCATAATGACGAAACCTGGCTTTTTCACCTTGGGTAGCTACCATACATATTGTCTTATCAGATATACGATTTTTGAAATTAGTTTTACGATCATCATATAAATAAGCTACCATAGTTCTGTATGGTGGATCCTCATATTTGTCTCCTTTATTACATTTCAGGCTCCAATATGGCTTATCCTCAACTGGCCAGTTCCAGATTCTGTCTTTATTGGTGTCAAAGTTAGCAGGTTCATTCATATCTATCCATAGGCCATCAAAACTAAGTGTGTTATTGTGATGTTTAACAATCAACTGTTTCCAAACATCCTTAGTCACATTTTTGAAGAAATCAGGAAATACTACCTTGCCTTTAGGCCATACCTGTAAAAGAAAGAAAAAATATTGCTTAACAACCATAAACTGCTATTTAATTTCAATTCCAGATGACCATTTTAGACTCCTGATAAAGCCTAAAAAGAAATAGATGTCTTTTGTTTTTCTTTGTGTCGTTAGGTTGCTGATATGTACTCCACATCTCTGTTTATTGATAAAACTATAGGAGTTTTGCTCATAGCAAACCAATGCTATCATGAACCTTCTCATGAGACAATTCATGGCCACAACTCCAAAGCTGTTTGGGCAATTATAGACAAACATCGAAACTTAATTAACTTGTGTTTCATTGTAGGAAGTAATGTTGCATCCTTATAAGGCCTTACTCCAAAGATATCATCCAGAAACCATTCTTTCTTTTTCTGAGACAAATTGAAGGGCATCATTCTAGAACAATTTTTGGGCTACAGTGAAAATTAAACTGACCAGCAAATCATGATAGGAATGAATGCAACAAACTAATAAGGTAATAAATATCCAAAAGCATACATATATTAACATCAGGAAACTGTTTGTTTCAGATTAACAGGAGGACATAGAGTTAATAGTACTGTGAAAGTACTTTTATTCATGGGTATCAATTTTCGTAGTTTGAGCATACGTTGCATGTTTGTGGGTTCTTATATTTATGGATTTTAGTTTTCTGAAAAAAATCGATTGAAGAATTTGAGGCCATTAGAAATGAAGATTCTTGAAAATAATCATATATTGTTCTATAATGATTTGTTCATTTTCACTTACTTGTTTGTCTTTCATTACTGAGAACATTAATCTAATTTTTAATAAAATAATTACGTTCGGAAATAAGCTGATTCATCAATGCTTACAATTTGTCTTGATTGAAGGAAATTGCAAAGTAAACACATGTAATTAGAAGTGATGACACTAATTAAACATAAACATGTCACTTAAAGAAAATGGTTACTTAAAAATTAAAAATATGCTACAAATGTACTTTGAATTGTAGAATTAATTTTTATGAAATAAAAAAGCAAGCCCAATATGAAATTATTTTTATTTTTCTTATGAGAATTATGAGGACACTTCATCATCCAAATCTTCATTGGAAGTCTGACTTTCATCGATCAAAACTAATTTCATGAGAATTAAAAGGCTAAAAGTCGTACCGTTTAGGTTTTTTAAAAGATTTATAAATGGGTAAAATCCTGAAGTTGTATATATAAATCTTAGTGCTTTTACTGATATTCAATGTATTCTCTAGATTATATGGTCTGTATCCATGTATTCAAATCACATTGGGATCTTTCCATGTCTTGATTTTGACAACAGTTGTTATATTTCACTGGACACTTAAAGTTGTGGATAAAGCCATCAACGAAAACCAGGAAAATCAGTACCCCACGAATAAAAGTACTTTCACAGTATGATATTTTATCAATGAATCTTTTCAAAATGAAGTTAGGCAGGTGATTGTAGTAAACCAAGTGCTTTCAGAGAAGACAAAATATTTAAAGTGATTGCAATATTTTGAATGAATCTATCTAAATTTCATTAATAAACATATCGTCATCAACTCACATATCCTAGTATTGCTCCTTTTTCATTTGAACTGTTAGCTGGAATGTTATAGTTTTCTGGCCATTTTATATTAGCATCATTCTGATTCATAAGATCATAAGGCTCATATCCAGTTTCATTGGTGATCAGTGCTGGATCCTGAAAATACAGCAAAAACATGTATTACTGTCAATTATTTGCTTATAATTAAAAGCTAAATACATATCTAAGAGTATATGAAAAGGTTTATTCTGTGGTTAACGCATCACTGTCACATTATACCACACAACTCCATTAGGAATAGGTAAAACATAGTATTTTAACAAATCTATATAACGTTAAATGAATACAATATCTGACTAAACAAACTTTAAAACATTTCTGAAGTGCCTCTAGACCCCACCCATACAATACAAACAAACATTTCTGGAACAGATTGTAACATTTGCAATTTTTGAAAATTAAATGAGAAAAAGAACAAATCATATTATTTTTTACCAAAATAGTAATAGTTCTCATTCCAGCAGCTTGTAAACTTTTGAAGTAGTTATTCAGGCCAATGAAATTTACGTCATCAACAGTGAAATCTTTCCTTTCGTCCATATGATCAATGTCAGCATACTGTATGTCCTAGAAATTGACAAAAATTAAATATTTCATATTTATAAATGATAAGAATTTCAGTACATTGTACTTAGATGTGTCAGGAAAAGTACACATGCTTATAACTGATAAATGAAAGAGAGACTCTGAAGTTCCATGAAAAGATAGTCATCTGGAAAAATTAGTGAACTCAATCTATGTCTGAAACTACCTCCATAACCAAACATTGGACTTTATTTGATAATTGGTTGAAAGACGGAAGTTTTCTGCATAGTGTCAAACATTTCCAACACATTTATACTTACTTTAACAATTCTGAAATTTTGCAAGAATTTCAATCCGATTGAAAGCTAAAATTTTGTGACCTAGTGCCAAAACAAAATTAAAATTAAATGTGACCTGTATGCTATGTGTCCTAACATTGTGCCAAAATGTAAAAAGATTTTGTCAAACAATACTTTCATGCTAAAAAAAAACCAAACAAAAATCTAACTAAAAAGTAACAGTAAATGTCAAAATTATTAAGATGGAAAGCCACCTGTATTTAATGGTCAATGACATTTTGTTCAAATTTCAAAAGATTTAGTCAGATGGTATCATCAGATCATATGTTTTTTCGTACGTCATATGAATTCGTACTATGCATGCTTTTACAATGGAAATTGTGGCGTCACAATACATTCTAAATAGCACAAAAACCAATAATAATACGAGGATACATGTACTTATAATCGAGAAATTAAAAACATATAATTACAAATTAACTAAGGGGAATAACTCTTGAAGGGTATATGTCAAAACCATCAAAATAAAATTTGACCTGTATTTTATGATCTATTACACTGTGTTAAAATTTCAAAATATTTGGTCAAATGGTACTTTTATTATGATCTTGAAACCAAACTTGTGAGGGATAGGGATGCATCACTATATATCGTCTTTTTAGAGGCATGGGTATAAAAAAGTAAAAGTAATTTAATACATAACTTAGTGGTTGTCATTTGTTGTTGTATATCATATTTGTTTTTCAATTGTTGTTTTGAACATCAATCAGGCAGTTAGTCTTTATTTTTGTTTGAATTGATTTTTTTTTTGGTCATGTGAGGGCCTTGTTGATGACCACAGTGACCTATAGTTGCTAACTTTTACATCAATTGGTCTCTGGTGAAAAGTTGTCTCATTGGTCATCTTACCACATCTACTTATCTTTATATAAATATTCTGTTGTGGAAAAATGTGTAGCCTGATTTTAGGTCCTGAATACAAGCAGTTGAAATACTTACCAGGGGTATTTTAGCAGCAATTGTCCTATCTACAGCAGTTTTCAAGTTAGTTATGTTGTTATAACCATAGCGACACAACTGAAATCCCAAACTCCAGTAAGGTGGCATATATGGACGGCCAATTGCCTAAAAAAATTGTATGTAGTACATAAACATATTTGGATAACAAAGAACTATTAAAGGGAAACTCCGCAAAAAAATGAAAAATTGATATTTTGTTCTTTAAGCATAAAAAACCACATGTTCATAAATAAAAAACTTTTATTCTCTATGTAAAGAGATCAAAATCGATTTTTGAAATTCACTATCAGTTCTCGACATATCGCCATCTTGTCGGCATGTTCGATCTAAAAAGTCACGTGATATCTATAAACCACAAAGAACAAAAAGAATCGGGGATTTACCGACCGTGCGTTAAAAACTCCCATCATCAATTGGGGATTACCGTAGACGGTTATTCAGTGTCAAAATGTCTTGCCAAGCGTACGGTTGTTCTGTCGGACAAGGTTATGACAAAAGTCTACATAGTTTTCCCAATCCCACAAAAAAAGACAGAATTGTATCAGACATGGTTGTACAACCTTAAACTAACAGCAAATAGTTGCATCTATAGCAAGCACAAGTTGGTGTGTGAAGACCATTTTGAACAATATTGTGACGAGGGAGATTCGATGGTAATTATCCTTTTTTAATAACAAAATAACCTAGCAGTTCTGATAGCTATAGTTATCAAATCCTCATATGATAAGATCTCGTTGAATAAAAAAAATATAGATTTGATGAGGAAGAACAGTTTCAATTATAAGAAAGACAAATGCAGTGTTCTTGTAACAATCACTGATTTACAGAAGATTCATTAGTATGCCTCTTTTATATAAAGTCAGAGACATATATACACATGGAGACATATATACACATGTGTATATATGTCTGTGATAAAATGCATTGATTTGTATAAAGAATAGTTCCGTATTTAGACAAGATAATTTTTCAATTAATAAAGTTATACGATATAAAATAACATTTTTTTATTATGATATTTAACGGCTATTGACAAGGAGCAATGTTAGGAAGAGGTTTTAGCTGGGACATAATATGTTGATATAGTATAATATTCCCAGGTTTAATATAGATATGTAAATATCGAAATATCGGACATCTCAATTTTTTTTATTAAAAGTGTTTTTTTTTTAACTTATCTTTAAATTATATCAAATTGATACGGAATCAATTCGGAACGGTCAATTATAAAGACACTTAGTTTTTTAGTTAAATGTGTGTGACTATCTGGTATGTTCGGTGAAAAATTTATAGTTTTTTTTTTCTTTTTAAATTTTATTTACGTTATCTTATTATATATATATATTTTGGCTTCCTCCCGATAATAGGTATGTCTAATGTCCCTATCTTTATAAGGATTAGGACGACAAGGAAAAGGGAGCGGAGTTAGAGTGGCATAGTGAAAAAAAATAACCAAATAGAGAACAATATAGAGAACGATCGACGAAAAGCGAAATAGTTATTGTAAAGGAGCGGAGATAAAGAGAGGCATAATGAAAAAAATGTTTGCTTGACAAAGTTATTGCTCGCTTTGATATTTTTAGTTATACAAAATCACACATCGTGTTCCTAATTGGTATTCACGTGCACTAACTTGATGCTGGGAACAGTATATTAATATATATGTTCCTGCTTGATGTGTTAAGTTTCTGCATAGCATGGTTAAATTAATTAGTATCCCATTTGTTATATCGTAGTGTCACGGTCTTACTGTGTTAAATTTATTTAGTTTGTTAATGATTGTGTAAATAAGAACAAATCTGTATAAAAACTTCTTTACATTTTAGTGATTGCTTATAGGCGTTTGATTATTGTTACATTTAAGATATATATATATATACATTTAGAACCTTTCATACATCTTAAAGTAAAAGATGTGTGTCAGAGTTAAACGACACAAGAACCCTGTAATACTAGTACGAGAGTATAGCATGTAAAAATTCCTACTCATAATGGTTGTATTGGAAATCCTTTCATACAGATTGACAACTCATGGTCCGACATGCATGTAATATTTTCCACATGACGCTCATAGTTCTTTCTACCAGCATCATCTTATTCATTAAATATTGCTGTAAACATCGATGGTCCACAACCATACAAAATGGGAGTAATATACCTTCAGATCTTCTCCGTGGTATACACTTGTGAAATATATAGACGAAATTCGGTATTGAAGTGAATCTACATCTCACAAACACAATTTTTGAATTACGATTTTGAGTGAACACCCACCAAACCAATACAAACGTACGGCAAGATATAACCATGCAGGCATTTAGTTTTCGTCAGACACAAGATAAATAATGACTCTCATAAACGTGTATATGCATGCAGTTTCAAATATCAAGAACAAGCGGTCGATGTCTATGGATCTTTGTTAAGTCCGTTTACTAACTGTTCAGAGTCAGACATGTCAATAGTTCATTCTTGGAACGGCCTTCATATACCCCATCCGACGATGGGAACTCTTTCTGATAGTGTTGACAAAATAAGCTTGTTTATCTGTACAAGTGGTTGCATGGCCTCTCCTGCCCCAACAAACAAATACGCTACTAGTCTGCTATCTCTGGAGCTCATCCTCAATGGCGCTTATACGTCAGGAAACTTACAAGTATACTAGTAAAGATTGTTTCAAGAACAACGAGATTGGGACGAACTGTTCTAAAATCGTCAATATCAGTAATATACAATACTAAGAGATGCCCATTTAATTACAACAACTGTATTACTAATTTGGATTAATGACGGCTATCCTAAAAAAAATCCTCAAACCAATTAATGTATTAGCTTAGATTTATAATGTATGTATATTCATTAATGAAATAAACGATAATTGGTATTCTTTTCACAAATAATTTGTCTAAGTGATTGTCAAATGAATTTAACTATGTAAGAATGAAATGTTAATAAGAAAATTAAAAAAAATCATGCATGTTGTACTGTTGTATTTTTTTCAATTAAAAACTTTAAAATTGCGATAGTTTTACGATTGTTAGCATTTATACATCGCCAGATTTAAATACAAGTTAAAGAATTCCGGTAAAGTAAATTAAACAGATGTGCAATGATTATTAATTGGGAAATGTAACATTTAATTTTTAAGATTAAAAGTTCTATTCTTTTAACTTCATATCTTAACTTTATGCTAATTGCATAGAACGTAACCGAAAATTGTTCCATTTTAATATTGTAACACTTCCGGAATTAAAAAGTTGAATGTTAATTTTCAATTAATTTATACAATTTAATTATTGTTTCTCTATTGTCATCGGGTATTTCATCTGGGTATATTAAACACGCTATACTCTTTCTGTTAATCCATTCAAAATGACAATATTCACACCTGTGTACGCCTGAGGCTAAATTGCTGCAAAGTAAAGTTCAAACGAATTCTCCTCAAATCGAGAAATAAACAATGACTTTACAAAATTATATACACACTCTGTTCACAAATATTTTGCATTGAAATGGTTATCAAAGTTATAACGGTAAATAAAACTTAAAATATTTTCAGTTCAATATCAGTAAAAATGTTCTATAGATATTTTATGAAAAAATCTCATTAATTTTTTGAAATTAATTCGAAAATAATTATATTTAAAGATAACTTCATATAGGAAGTTTTATTCAATCAATACAAAACGGTACACACATATTCATTTTCTTTCATTCTTATATTGTGGTTATTAACTACGACCAACGGTCATCTGTGCGCTTTTAATTACGTAAAATTCTGATAAGCAATTAAGACTTTAACAGGTTTTATTTTTTCCCATGATTCAACAATTCGGGTTAAAACGTCACAACCCAGTGACGTAGGTCAACCAAAAAAGTTACAAATACTTGATTTTCTCCGTTATTAGAAAGAATATAAATTTAAAACTTTGTGAATGTGTTTTTTATGTTAAGATGAATATATTTAGATGATAAGTAAAAAATCGCGGAGTTTCCCTTTAAGTATCAACGCCTAGTTTTGATACTGGACCAGGCTAAATTATCATTCATTGTAATAAACTTCATTTAGCCTATAGCTAAATAAAGTATGAAACTGTTTCAACTTTTATAGAAATTTTATGACTTAAATATCAAGTAAAACTTCATAATAATTTATGCCAAAAAAATGATTTTGTAATTTTAATTTTATAAATTACAAGTCTCTAGATGAATATAAGAATTAATTATAATCTGTACAATAAAAGGTCTACATTTTCCCAGTGTTAGTGATAGAATAAGATGAGCACTTTGAAAATTCACAAAATTAAACAAGGGTTACAATGCAAGGTAATGAGAATTCCCATTTGATAAAATAACAGGTCATAATAATTTATTTCACCCCTAAATTTACTGAAATTGTTATTTATATACCAACAAGAATATGTGTCTGTAGGACATCGTACCCATACAACACCATCACATTTCCATGTTTAAGTGAGCCACACATACTGTATCTAAACCTTAATTTTGCATTTATTTTTTAAAAAATCACATAATATGAAAATTTGTACTATGGTTCAAATTAAATTGACCACAAAATCATGATAATATTTAACCAAGACAAATTTTTAACTTGATCAGTGAAATTTGAAAATTTGGCTGAAAACCTTAATTTGGCCTACATTTTAAAAAGTTCACATCAGAATTGTGATGTATTTTAAGTACTTCAAGTAGACGTGACACTAATTTGGAGGTCAACTACCTTAAACCAAAACTTTACCCTGATACAGGATGGACTAACAGACCTTTTAAAGTAGGCTGGGTATAAAAAGAAGTAACTGAATTATTGAACATTCTTGGTTATTTTGTATTGTTGGGTTGCTGTCTTGTTGACATTTACCTATTTCTCACTTCTATTCCTTTCTGTCAGAGTCTATTAAATACAGACATACCGTTGTGTAGTCATAAACCACTCCTTCAGGTACAAGTCCTATGAACAGATAGAAGTCCAATACTCCACCAATAGTTCTGTATATCAACATTGGGAGGGGTGTAAATGAATATTCTACAATATGAACAATACATCAGGATTTTTTATAATTCAACTCATAACTAACGTCTGCACATGTGTAACCAATTATAGAAGTTAAATCTTTGAAACATGTAAATTACTATGTTGCATTCTGTATGATGTAGTGTATACTAACATCTACTCTTCTCTTGCCATTGGAAGCTGTTTGGTTGTGTTGGATGAATAAATACATGTCAGTTGGCTTCTGTACAGTTGTGTGTGATGAACAAATACATAGCCATAAAATATTTGGAACATTAAAATGCTCTTTTGTAACCCACTCTAGGTTGTGGTGGGAAATTGCTTTCACCTTGACTGTTTGTTCATCCAACAAATATTTCTGTCACACTTTTGCAGGTACTACGTAACAGAATGACTTCATATGTAGTCAGCAGCTGGTTGACAGTGATAAATTGTAACACAGTTCGGATCTGTCAGACACCTACTCCTTGTTTACCTATACTTTGAATTTTGGAATATGTTGAATAAACCTAAAAATTTTCATCACACCTTTTATCCAGTAATACTGTATAGAATGACTTCATATTTAGTCAGCAGCTTTGCAGCAATGTGTTGTAAGGTGTGAGCAGACATGTTAGACAACCACTTCCTACTTTAAATTAAGATTAGGGTATGCTTAGCACAAAAACACATGCACCCTGGTTTGAACAGAAATGACTGTCATACAAGTATTAGGTGTGGCACATTTGATAACATTGTTCAACTCACAACATTCATTCCAAATTACCTGTACCTTGTCAGGTCTTATACAGTCAACCACCAATTTTTCCCATGAGGATCATTTAAAGAGAATTTTCATAACACAAATATGGACTTCTATTTTATTATAGAAAAAACCTTGAAGTTAAGTAATTTTTTTATTCCCTATACAATGTCCAGCAATTATACATATTCATAACGTTGTGGTTATATTCAATGATATATTTAATGTATAATTTTTAACTGTTGTTGTCATGGTTTAATTATGCAAATTAATTTAAGATGATCTTAGATTAAATCAATATGCAACTTTTTCGTTACTGAAGACTTGCACATAATTATTTACACTATTGTCCAAAGGGTTTTCCCTGCACATCTGTTTTAACTGTGGTAAGATAGGTCAAAACAATGGAGAAATTATGATAATAAGGCCACTTTTTTTGGCCTTTGAATTTGAAATCAATAAGTATTATAAATTTACCAAATTACATTTTCTCAGGCATTAGCCTGACAGTATTCTACAGTTTTGAATTTTGCCTGACATATTTGCAATAATTCAAACTTCTTGAATTTAGTGCAAAAACTGTCCAAAGTTTGTGTGTTAAATTGTAACTTTTTGTCAAATATGTCTAATTTGACATGTTTATGATATCATAGTGACATCATAAGTGACCTTTTTGCACTAAAGTGTCAAGATTATATTAACCTCTTTATTTATCAAAATAATTCACATAATTTTGAAAGTCTTAATATTACAATTAATTTTAAGGGCCAAATAATGGCTTTTATCATTACCTCCTCCTTCACATATCATGTTAAAACTCTTATATATAAGTTATATATATACAAGTCTGAATTGAAAACAATGTTCAAACCTATGATTGCGTTGGATAAAAACCACAATTTTTATACGTGTGCATGTAAAACAAATTTCTTGGTAGGGGGGTCTAAATACAGCACAAACAACATTTTCCAAAAGACCAAAAGAGTGAAAAAGTATATTTTAACAAAACGCATTTGACTAACAGGTCGAACAACTGATGTTCTTAAACTCTGCTGACTGCCATTGGCGATTGCCAAATAAATTGATCACCAGATTTAACAAGATAGATCTTAATATTAATCTAATACCAAACAGAAAACAATTAACTTGCGGAAAGATGGTATTCCACAAACTTAAGGTGCAAAAATTTGTACACCATATCCGGATTTCGACAATTAATGTCTCTTCAGTGATGTTAGGGATCGAAACGGTATTTGGAAGGCCATATAATTTACCTCAATTTAGGATAGATTCTTGAATTTTAAAGAGTCGAAATAGAATGAACGGATCATATAAACCCTAAGGAAAATTCAATACAAGCCCAAACGAAAAAATCTAAACAACTCTAAATTAAAAACAACATTCAAACCTATGATTGCGTTGGATAAAAACCACAATTTTTATACGTGTGCATGTAAAACAAATTTCTTGGTAGAGGGGTCTAAATACAGCACAAACAACATTTTCCAAAAGACCAAAAGAGTGAAAAAGTATATTTTAGCAAAACGCATTTGATTAACAGGTCGAACAACTGATGTTCTTAAACCCTGCTGACTGCCATTGGCGATTGCCAAATAAATTGATCACCAGATTTAACGAGATAGATCTTAATATTAATCTAATACCAAACAGAAAACAATTAACTTGCGGAAAGATGGTATTCCACAAACTTAAGGTGCAAAAACTTGTACACCATATCCGGATTTCGACAATTAATGTCTCTTCAGTGATGTTAGGGATCGAAACGGTATTTGGAAGGCCATATAATTTACCTCAATTTAGGATAGACTCTTGAATTTTAAAGAGTCGAAATAGGATGAACGGATCATATAAACCCTAAGGAAAATTCAATACAAGCGCAAACGAAAAAATCTAAACAACTCTAAATTGAAAACAACGTTCAAACCTATGATTTCGTAACTTGGATAAAAACCGCAATTTTTATACGTGTGCATGTAAAACAAATTTCTTGGTAGAGGGGTCTAAATACAGCACAAACAACATTTTCCAAAAGACCAAAAGAGTGAAAAAGTATATTTTAACAAAACGCATTTGACTAACAGGTATATATATATTGTAACATACCTTGTGAGTTACTGTTAACTATCATTATACCATATGCAGTCCCTTCATCATCATAATAAGTATAAAATGGATGTACTCCATAGTGGTTCTGGAAATTCTGGGTAATAAATATACAAATTAAACAAATGATATATTATATTCTTGTATCATAGTTCTTCTAAATCATTGTATTCTAGAAATATGTGTCCCAAGAACTGTTAATAATTTGCCCCTTTTAATCCTCCGATAACAAACTCCATTAAACTCTCAAGGATTAAATAAAACTATATGCTACAATTGTTACACTGCACACAACCCTATCAATTAGTCATTGAATAAGCCAAAATGTGATTATGAATGAGTGCATTTTCGTTGACTATTTAGTTATATCTAAAGAAATCTCAACTGATACTGTGAAAAATTATTTTCCTGGTTTTGATGAAACATCATTGTTTCATGGATCTATAAATTTGTGGCTTACTTGCAGACTTTGCATGCAAGATGTCATGGAATAATATGCATTTCTTTGGTTATCAAAATTTGTGATTTTGACTATAATAAATCCATGTAATTTACAACTTTGTTCATTCCACTGATTGAACCAAAATTATAAAGTTTCTTTACCAAAACTATTTAACCCATTCTTTAGAAACTTTACAAATTCTGAAAACATTGTTTAAAGTCTTAAGAAACCTTGAAAAATTTTGGGGACAAACCTATTCAAAAAAAGGCCTCACACTTGTCTCAATGATTTGGCATAAAACCAAAGTTATACATAACATTTAACATATTTTACCTGATCACCTGTTGGTTGATCTCTGGCAAACATTGGCCATGTTTTCCAGTTTAAATCATGCCTTAAAGACCCATGCACATTTTCTCCAAATCCATAGACCCTATCTGATGGTAGCTTGGTTGCTATTTGTAGGAACTGGTCCTCAAATATCAAACCTCCAACTGTTGTGTCATATCTATATATAGATACATCACTAAGTTTAAAGTAATCAATAATGAAAACAATGATCATAAATAAATTTGATTTCAAATATTTCCAAATCTTCAATGGTCTGTTGCATGATTGGGCCAGCAGTCTTTTGACATTTTGATTGGCCCAAAATGAAAATGTCATTTATGAGGACGAAAATTAACTAATAATATAATACTCATATGTTCTGTTTACCTTTTTTTGCAGTGATTTCAAAATATATTTATAGATTTTTTTCAGCTGCTATTTAGTTTTCTTTCTATTCCTCTTAAAATGCTTACAAAATGTTTTAATTTTTTCTCAACCTGTAGATTGGAAACATGCTTTAAATCTAAGATACATATTAGTTGTTATTGGCTTTGAACTAGCTTTCAGTAACTGTGAGTACTCTCAGAAATTTGTCTTTTATGTTTTTGTTAGTTATTTTTGTGCTTTGTGTCGATCTGATGAGTCCTTTTCAACTGACTTTATTGTTTGTTCTGATGTTGTGCTGTTACACCACTGTCCCAGATTTGGGAAGGGTTGGAGAGCCCACAAATATGTTAAACGACCGAATGGTTTACACTTGTCTTTTCAGGGCCTTTTATATCTTGCTATGTGGTATGGGTTTTCTCATTGTTGAGGTGGTACAGTGACCTATAGTTGGTAGCCTTCTATGCCATTTGGTCTCTGGTGGAGAGTTGTCCAATTGTCAATCATACCACAAGCTACATTTTGGCAAAGTACTTTATACCCCCATACTACCTAATTAGGTAAAAAAAAAATCTTTCTAAAAGATAGAAAAACTTGAAGCTGATGAATTGTTCTATACAAAAAGGAGAAAAAAGAAATATGGAATTTTCTTGGAAATCATCAGAATTAACCAACCAAGTGATGCCAGAAGATCTACTATTTTTTTAACCTTACATGACTTTTTTTGGAGGCATATCAATTCTTAGCACCTGGAAATGGAATGGATCATCACTGACAACTTTCAGTTCATACCATGGATGCATAGTTCTGTCATTGGATACATCAAGTTTGATAGGTACTTCATAACGTTCATTTTCTGCATCAAATAGCTAAAAGGGGAAAATTTAATCATCATTGTAAATTCAAGTTAAGGTTCAAGTATGATATATGTCATTCATCAGTTCAAGACATCAAATATTAAAACAAAACAATTTAATGAGCAGAGAATTTCTACTGCACAATATTTATGTGTTTGTAATACAGTTTCCAGGGACAAATGTACATGTTTTACAAAATGAGTTTTTGATTTGTTGAATGCCCACAGTACATACAAAGCTGTGGCTGATAATGGAAAGTATGCATAAAATCCCGCCATATTCTTTATGTGCCTAACCCAAGTCAGGAGTCTGTAGTTCAGTGGTTGTTGTTGGTTCATGTCTGTCATATTTGTTTTTAATTTGTAAATTTTTTTGTTATAAATAAGGCCGTTTTCTCAATTGAATTGTTTCATTTTTTCAGGTCAGAACCTTTTATAACTGACTATACGGTATGGGTTTTTCTCATTGTTGAAGGCCATATGGTTGCCTAGATTGCTTATGATCCACTTAATTTGAACTTCGGTGGATAGGTGTCTCATTGGTAATCATACCACATCTCCTTATTTTATATCTATATGACTGCATAAATATTGACAATTTTTGTCCAAATATTTTTGGACAACAGAGCTAACTATGATTCCAAAGTTTTAATACTTATAAATGCAATCACACTATTATTTAAGCAATTAATTAAAGAATGGTGAACATAAATTTTGCTCCCTGTGTCTTCAAACAATTTCTTTTAAATAAAACAGAACTCATCTAAGATACAATAAAACCTACCTTAAATCTCAAAACATTATTTTCTCTCATCTCCACTCTAAAAATAGCATTCCTGATGGGATTTCCAAAGGGGGATAATCCTTTCCATGTCAAGTTGTAATCCATTCCTAATTCTGTTTCATATGATCCTGCCAGTTTGTACCCCATGTTACTTGGAAAGTAACAATCTGGACTCAATGAGTTTGTGGGATCATAAATGCAATGGCGACTTTCACATTTCTCCTTGGTTACTAGATCAACATTGCCAAGACGTTCAGGGTAGCAGTCAATTCTTGTATTTTCCTCCTCTGTACTATCTCTAAAATCACAATTAAACTTGAATTAGTTTTCTTTAAAGAGGTTTGCCCAAATAATACAAATTTTAATTATTTGGTTCAGATTTCAGAAGAAAAACAGCAATTATTTGATTTTTTTATTTCTACCTTGAAAATCCTTTTCCCTGAAATTCTTGAATGATCTTCACTGAAACTATTCCTTTAAGTTAAAGGGAAACAATTATTTTCTCCAATCTTTTAATTCAAAAATGCATCATTATTTCTAAGAGTATATTATACAGGGAACTTGAGGGAAGAACTATTTAATGTTTACACATACCTTGTCCAAGAAATACTAAACCAATCTTTCAACTTTCTGTTTAAACCTGTTACTGTCAACACCTGAAACATGTTGAAATCTTTTGAAACAAGTACTTTTTCCTGTAAATTGAATCTTAAAAACAGTCTAATGTGTAATAAATCGTAAAATAAAAAGTCATTCATGCAACACAATTTTTCATCATTTTCCAAATATTACATCTTTTCACTTTTTTTTTTAAATATAAATGATAATTAGTCAGAGTAAAGTAAGTTAAATTACTAAAAGTTGACCTTCATTTAACATTAGTTACCTTTTTATGACTATCATATGTAAACATATTGATTGGTTTCAAACTGTCAAGATCTGTAACCATGGAAACATTTGTCTGCACACCATAGACCTTGATGCTATCAACAATCAAATTTTCTACTTCATTATCTGAACCACTCAACTTTTCAGACCACACTTTATTCTGCAGACAGAAAAATAATAAAAACATCTATTGTTATGAATTGTCAGCAAGCTGCTTTCTTATTCCGTTAAATGCCAAATAAGGGTTTCATTGAGGTTCAAATCTTCACTAAAAAAAAAACCAACAAAATACTAGAACTGTGAATGAACTCACAAAAGGATATTCCATTATTCTATTACTGTGGATTAATCATAGAATACCATTTTTTGTGGATTTCGTGGGTATATGTGAACCACAAATTTAAATGTTCAACAAAGTATAAATTTTCTATAGGCTTGTATGCAGACTTTGGCAAAACCACAAAATCCAATATCCACTTAATTAACAAATTTTCCTCAATCCACAAAAAAATGGTATCCACAAAAATAAACGAATCCACAGTATCCTGTTTCCTGATTTTCTAGTTAAAATCAAAATTTATTTAAATGTATATTTCAAAGGATGTTCATGGATATCATACAATGACAGATTTAAAAAAAAAATCTAAATATTGCTAATGACACAAACTTCTCAGTCATTTATTAGATTTCTTATCTTTGGTTTGAAGGTGTTGATTCCTTAAAATTTGCTGTTGAATTTTGCTATCATCTGTTGTAAATTAAAAACATTTTTATGAAGATTTGCAAATACTGCCAAAATTTATTTCTGAAAGTAACTTTTGACTGTTATGTTATGGTGCCAATACTTACTCCTACTGCTTTAAATCTTGCCAAGTAATACTTTCCATTTTCATAGGTCTCTGAAAATAAATGATTATATTTAATTTTATTCAAATATTTGTTGTAGAATCAACTATGCACAAATTCAGTAGACAAATATTGCACAATGCTGCCAAACAGTACAGTTGCATCATACTATCAAAACAGTATTTTGAAACTTATTACAAAAATAAGTCACTGATTTAGACATGCAATATGGGATATGGATAAAGCAGATTTGAACTTTGCCAACATGTCATTCATATTGTGATATTTTTCAAAATGTTATCAAATATAATGATCACAAAGTTTGTTTGCAAGCCACAGGTTATGCAAAAATTTCATTAAACATATTTTTAAGGATTATACATGGAGAAAGCACTGTTATCTGACAAGAAAGAAAACTAAATGATAGAATATTGAAATAAAATATAAGATGATAGCCCAGAAAAATGCTTTCAGAAAATAAAATACAACTGAGGTGACTGTACTCAATTTCTTCAAATAATAAATAAATTTACAGTACATACCTTTGAAAAAGAAATTATCAGAGTTATCTCCACTTATAAAAAACAAAATTGTTGAAGTTTAGAATGAAACAAACAAACAAAATCTGTAATTGTTAAAACAAGCTTTTACCTACGATAAAATTACATAAATTTATTGAAATGATAGATATAAGAAGATGTGGTATGAGTGCCAATGAGATAACTCTCCATCCAAGTCACAATTTAAAAAAAAGTAAACCATTATAGGTCAAAGTACGGTCTTCAACACGGAGCCCCGGCCCACACCGAACAGTAAGCTATAAAGGGCCCCAAAAACTACCAGTGTAAAACTACAAATATTACTGAAATGATAGGCTTACAAATTAATTGCATTTCTGTGTCAAAATTTACTACTTTCTGCTGCTTAATCATTTGATTGTGAAAGACTCCCATACCATTTTAAGCCTCAGTTTGTAAGTTTACAGAAACTATCCAAGAAAAAATTTTGTAAATAGAAAATGCCTTATTTAATCTCCTGGTGTTCTCCCTGAATAACTACATCTAAAATAGATAAAATATAGGACTGAAGTTTTACTGTTAAAATAAGAATATTATGACTGAAATTTTGATAAACTTTCATGATTTTCCAGAAAATAAACAAGTCTACACTACCTATTGAGTCTCCATCGTCCCAGAAAAGTTCTCCTTCTGCCTGACCACCTTTATCATCATCATTGTCTAATGCTACTAAAACATGTAGTGGATTCTTACGACTAAAAAATAAGTACACTATATCATCAATAACTTTATTTGTAAAAAAAAAAAGAGTATTGTGAGAGTTGTGAGCTGAGCTCAAATAATTTACAAGGTTGCATAACACAAAACATAAATAAAATGATGACTTATGAGTCAAGCTCAAAAAGGTTGTAGTTTTGACAAAGTTTACAATGGCAAGATAAGCTAAAAAAAAACTATTAACGCTATGTTCACCTAAATGCAAAATTGACTTTTTAATTAGCTTGATATCTGTTTATCAGAATGCTTTAATAAATGCTTCTAAAACTATTTCCTACACTCAATACATTCTGAAATTCAGAATTAAACGGAAATACTCTTACTCATTTGGGACAACAGAGAGCATCTACAAATAACACATCATTATAAAATTGTTTTGAACATTATTTGAAATGTGTAACCAAAAAAAAAAAATTGGGATAGTGTCCACATGTGGACACAGATGATGACCCCGTTGCATATCATATAGATATAAAGGGACATAACTGAAGAACGGTAAAAGTGACGCTACCCAAATTTGAACTTGATCTGAGTTTTGTGAAAAAAAGCATTGTGTGTAAGTCTCATAACATTTGGTTGAGGCTAACTTAAGTAGAGAACAGAAACTAAAAATTCAGAAATTTTTTTTTTGTAAACATAACTCTAGAATGGTTGTGTATAAGTTTTATAACATTTGGTTGAGACAAACTAAAGTTAGAGAACGGAAACAAAAAATTCAGCAATTTTTATGTTTGTAAAGGGACATAACTCAAGAATGGTAAAAGTTTCGCCACCAAATTTCGTACTTAATCTGTATTATGTAGTAATAAGCATTGTGTACAAGTTTCATAACATTTGGTTGAGGCAAACTAAAGTAAGAAAACGGAAACAAAAAATTTGTACTTGATCTTAGTTTTGTGGTAATGAATATTGTGTATAGGTTTCTTATGTTTGGTTGGGGCAAACTTAAGTTACAGAATGGAAACTAAAAATTTTGCAATCTTTCGATTTATAAAGGGGCATAACTCAATAATGGTTAAAGTGACACTACCCAAATTCAACTTGATCTGTGTTTTATCAGTGGAAGTCAAAATTAAACATTGCATTGTATAAAGCATTGATTGTAGTTGATTCAATTATATGATTCAACTATAATCATGGACAAAGGAAGATAACTCCAATTTTAAAAATTACTTGATATTTAGAAGAAAATAAAAATTTTGCAATTTTTCCATTTATAAAGGGGCATAACTCTAGAACGGTTAAAGTGACGCCACCAAAATTCACACTTGATCTGTGTTTTGTGGTAATAAGCATTGTGTATAAGTTTCATGGTTGAGGCAAACTCAAGTTAGAGAATGGAAACCAATTTTGGGACGTACGTACGTACGTACAGACTGACAAGGGTAAAACTTAATGCCCCCACCGCTACGGCGGGGGCATAAAAATCATATGACATTTCTGTATTTGAAATGAATAAAGCTTGATATGTTCTTACCTGTATGTAGTATTTCTGGCTGGTTCTTGCATGGGAAGGATACTGCCACCACGTACATCTAACTGAATATTTGTATCTGGACCAACTGGCATCTTCACAGGTGTTGGAACATCTGTATACCAACCCTGTACATCATGCAATAAATATAATTTTATCATTTTTCCTTTCTGGAAGTTACTTACATAATATATATATTCCAATTAATACTTAAAACATGCTCATGTAAATTTTCAAACAGAAAATTAGACAATAAACATTTCATAGCATGGAAGTTTAAATGCACTCTCCTCGTAATAATCAAATCATATAATAAGACCAAGCTAACACAGTTGATCTTGTCTTTGTACCTCATAAATCATTTAATCCTCTTGTTATTGTAATTAAATGTTGATTTTAACCAATTGCCCTTTAGTTTGAATGGATAGATAGAGACATGCATACCACTGACACACAGTTCATTTACATTATTTCTCATCCCTGGCTTCATTATAAGGGGATTAAAATGTAAAAAGTTGCACATTGAATTTACTTACAGCAGTCAATGTAATTGTTTGAATATCAAAATTCTATTGACTGATAATTCTATGACAGTACATACCGTGTGTAAATCATACCATCTTCCTGCTGGATGATAATAACTCAGTTCTGTTTGATTCTGTAAACCATCAATAAAAGCATTTACTACTCAATCTAAATGGTACTCTATACTACTTTACACATATCCTTTTGTTTCCTGAACATCTGATAAAAAATAGTTTTCCTAAGTTAAAAGTGGTGGAGTCCATATTTTATATGAGACTCCATTAATACCGTGATGATTAAAAAACACAATAAAACAAATGGATTAAAATGACAAAATAAACTAAAGATTTTCTGAACTTAACCAAATCTCACAAAAGCGGGGGCACAGTATACAAAAGATGGAAATCAAAAGCATATGAGCTTCAAGGAGAGGCTACCTGATGTACAAAATATTCATAATGTAGATGGCTTTATAGTTGTGCTTTACACTCATTGGTTTCTTTGTGATACTTGACATTTCTTTTTGGCCATGGAGTTCTGTTTTTATGGGACATATGATTTTTATATTACACCTTTGATATCTTCTCTCTTTTTTGGAGGTCGTGGGATTGAACCTGGCCGGGTCAAACCAAAGACTTTAAAATTGGTATTTGCTGCTTCTCCACTAAGCACATGGCATTAAGGAGTAACAGCAAAGACTGGACGGCTCAGAGTCAGAATAATGTGTAGGATGGGTAGGATGACATGTCTTGCTGCGGACTGTTACCTTGTGAACGAGCATGTGTAAAAAAACCAGCTCAGCGTGTCAGTCTAGTACAAAGCAGGGTCAATATTCATATTACATTAACATGTTCTTGTCCTGAATATGCATATTAATTTGCTGCTGGAAGTTAAGCAGCTATCCATCATCATCATCTCTCTTTTTTGTAATAGTGCTACTACATATTTATACATCTATTTTGAACTTACCTCATATAATATTGGTGAAATCAACAATGAAGACCCCCAAAGGAACTGCTCATCAATAGACAAAGCTTTGGAGTCGTTAGGAAATCTATAATAATAAGAGAAGACGCCTCATAAGATTTAAGTAAAACATAGAAAACTAGATACTTAAAGCATATGATATGTATCTGACATGACTTTTTTTCAATTTTGATCTTACCAAATGCTAAACTGAATGAAAAAGAAATATTATATATAACAGTGTATTCCAAATAGTTTTCTGTAGTATTCTGCAATATAAAACCCATTGTTTAACTTATCATGTAAGTTCTGTGATAAATGACAAACAGTTTAAAAATGGGTTTGGCAATTGAAAAGCCAATCAAATTAACTCTCACTACTAATCCCAATCAGAAGGTGTCTACTAATAACAAATCTTAATGCTAAGTTAACAGTATGTTTAGAATACAAACACGCAAAATCAACAAGGATTTTAGACTTTGGAATAACTTTTTCTTGAAGTGTATTTGAAAATTATTGTCAATATATAAACAAGCTAAATTCAAACAAAGTTTTCTTCAACAACTGTCATGGTTCCTCACTTGGTTCTGACACTTGCTTAACTTGTGTATATTTAACAAATAATACATGTTATTGAGGGCAACATGACAGTCTATTGACCAGATGGTCATCTCCCAAAATGTCTAAAGAACAAAGTTTCAATTCTTTCCATAGAATTTTTTGGGAAATGACCAAAACATATTTAATATTCAAAATCATTTGTAAAGTTTCAGTTAATTCTCTATGATGTGCATGCTAGCTACCCTTTGCCTGATTCTTAAATTAGGTTTGGAATGAATCATTGAAATACATACTCATGATGAAGTGGTCTGGCTACAGTATGACCATCAACATGAGCTCTGTGGAATAAGGTATAAAGATATGGCAGTAACCAGTATCTGTCTTCTAGGGCAATTCTAGAGGCATTAGCCACCTCCTCACCGAATACTCCTGGATCTTGTTGCTACAAATATATAAACCTTCTTGAAACTAAGTATCATATCATGTCTTCACCAGGATAATGACAATGATCACTCTTAACATGACATTAATTCACAAAAGGTCCAGAATATTCTCTTTTATTTCTGAGTTTATTAATCATGACAGATCTCTTATTCAATGAAACTTTATTTTTGAATAAAAATGTGTGTTTTGAATAATGTGATCTTCGTCATATTTTACTAAATAATGAAAGAGATTTTTATCCAATTTAACATCAATAAATATGAGCCAGTGGAAAAATTTTCATAGGGATTGCATTACTTTATTTTCATAAAAGCCTTCAAAGGAGTAAGTTCAAGAAGGGTTAAAATTGGCCCTAAGAATTCGATGTTTAATTAATCTGGCCAAAAAACTACAAATTTCATATTGAAATAGTTATGATAAAACTATTAGTTCAAAATAACTTCTTTTTGGCACATCACATTAAAAATGATGAAGAAATGACCCCTAAATTATGCATTATTAATGTTGTAGCGTCAATTTTGGTCAATTCTCAATAATTCTTAACAGTTTTTAACATAGTTTACTTTGGGTGCCATCCCTAATCCAGAAAGTTTTTGTGTCTAGGGATTTCAATATCATCCTAGGCAACTTTTGCTACAAACATTTTGGATCCTAGGTTGGGGCCAAGGGTATTCTCAAGTTTTTATGTCAAAAAAATGCACAAAATCATTGCTTTTTTGACAATATATCCAAAATGTGCTGACTTTGAAACCTAGAATGTATTCTGATGAAGAGATTTGTTTATTATAACCTAGTTGTAAAGCTTTTGAAATAGATCCATTCAAAAACCAAATTATGGCCATTTTGAGATTTTATGATAAAGTTGAATTTCAAGGCCATATTTGACCTAATGTGTACCTTGTCCATTTTTAGGCAATTATTTTCGCAAAATACTGAATTCCTTATGTGTTGTTTCAGAATTAAATTGGGAGGTATGACTGATTGTTGCTTTTTTAATGTTAATTAGCAAATATGTCATGAATGTTCAGGATGAGAACAAATTAACAATAGGTACACTAAGTAGGGACTGGGATCGACAATATCAACCAGGACGATGGGCTGAAAATTTGGATTATAAATGACATAGATATAATTTTGGTGTATTTCGCATTAAATGTCAATAAATCATAGCAAACATACAATATTCCCTATTCCATTGTGGTTTCTTGAGAAAGGATAAAAAGCTCCAAGTTGCATCCATCTCTTACACAGCTGGGATTCTGTATTGCCAAAAAATCCACATATATCTGCTCCTATCTGAAGAAAACACAAGGACATTTTAACAACATGGCAAAAAACACAATAGAACTTTCTTTCTTTACATTTGAATAATACAAAATTTTAAAAATTCTGTATGTGTGTTTTCTCACCAAGACTGTTGCAGCTTCAGGCTTACCCAAGTCGGTCTTTTTGAACTGGGCCAAATCACTATTTTTTCATAAAATTCCCTTCACAATTTAAAACAAAAATGTAATTGCATCACCGTACTTGCTATATTATGCATTAAACAGGAAAAACAAGTGAAACTTTGAGCTACTGCTCACTGATGATACCCCCGCCCAAATACTTGACGGTTAACAGGAAGTTGTTGAGTGATGAATCTGAAAACGCATCACACGGTATAGCTGACTTATATAAACCCTGAAACCAAATTTCAGAAATCCTTGTAGTGTAGTTCCTGAGAAAGATGCGACAAAAAATATTCATGGGACGGACGGACGGATGGAGGGATGGATGGACAGATGGATGGATGGATGGATGCACGGACGGACAGACAGAGGTAAAACAGTATACCCCCACTTTTTTTAAAGCAGGGGTATAATTAATATTAGAAGGTGTATGAACAAGTACAGTGTCCTCACAAAGGTGCAAAAATCTTGAGAACACAATGGAAAAAAGAGGAGTAATTGTGCTATCACCATAAAAAAGGAGTTGTGGTCTAATTGTCAATGGGAAAACTATCCACCAGAGACCAAAGGACATAGATGTAAACAACTTTATGGCACTGTACGGCCTTCATTTATAAGCAAAACCATAGTAAGCTATAAAAGGCTCTGGCATATTAAATGTGAAATAATAAAAAGAGAAAACCAAAGGCTTAATTTATGCTAGACACTCAATAAACACTTCAGCCACTTAACATCGGACAGTTGTATAGCATCACTATGTAGGAACAAATTATAATAATCAGTTCAAAAAGACTCAACTCATCAGATCAGCAAGAACCACACATCAGACTTATTAAATGATACAACATCAATGAACAACTTCAAACTGAGCATAATTCTATTTTAAAACATCTTTTTTTCTTTAAGGCTTCATAAAGTCTCCTGAATATTCAATAAGTTTAGTAATTTTAGCTCAATAATACTCCAAAAACTATTAAAATAGAGACATTTGAGGTCCTTAAAAAAACTGAACTATTTATTCCATAACTTATCAGACAAATCTTGAAAATAAAAAGCCATGTCCTCATTATAAAAATGATTACTATGGTTATTTTTCTAAAATATACATATTTTATTCTTATAATTATTTTTCTTTTGTAATACTTACATATGGTATTCCAAATAAGTTGAACTCTAGCATTCCTATATAAGAAATGAATATACTTAATATAATTATGGACAATATCGTCAAAGTGTCAAACATCTGAAAAATGTTTTATTGTAAAAAAACTTTATATATAATGGCCTTTCTCGACAATTTAAAAACATGATCATTTTCTAAATCTTAATTCTGAAATAATGAACATCTCAGTCATGTGTACAAACATTTAACTTTAGCCAAATACAATTTTTTTTCAATTAAAAACTGTAAAAAGAGATAAAAGATAAATAATGTGCCTTATATGCAAATTTTCAAAAATAAATGGAGAATGTGTCCATGGGACATAGAAGAAGCACCCACTTGCATACAACGTTATAAAGAGGCATAATACTCAAGAATGGTAAAAGCGACACCACCCAAATTCGACCTTGATCTGAATTTTGTGGTTATAAGAATTGTGTATATGTTTCATAACATTTGGTTGAGGCAAACTGAAGTTACAGAACGGAAACCAAAAATTCAGTAATTTTTCCATATATAAAGGGACATAACTCCAGAACGGTACAAGTGATGCCATCCAAATTCGAACTTGATCTGTAAAATTGAGAATGGAAATGGGGAATGTGTCAAAGAGACAACAACCCGACCATAGAGCAGACAACAGCCAAAGGACATCAATGGGTCTTCAATGCAGCGAGAAAATCCCGCACCCGCAGGCGTCCTTCAGCTGGCCCCTAAACAAATATATATACTAGTTCAGTGATAATGGACGTCATACTAAACTCCAAATTATACACAAGAAACTAAAATTAAAAATGATACAAGACTAACAAAGGCCAGAGGCTCCTGACTTGGGACAGGCGCAAAAATGCGGCGGGGTTAAACATGTTTTTTGAGATATCAACCCTCCCCCTATACCTCTAGCCAATGTAGAAAAAACAAACGTACAACAGTACGCACAGTAAAACTCAGTTTAAGAGAAGTCCGAGTCCGATGTCAGAATAGGAAACAAAAGAAAATAAACAAAATGACAATAATACATAAATGAACAAAGGACTTCTAGCAGTTACTGACATGCCAGCTCCAGACCTCAATTAAACTGATTGAAAGATTATGTCTTCATCATATGAAAATCAAGTACAATCCCTCCCATTAGGGGTTTAGTATCATACCATCATAAAATATATGAGAAGAACATAACCCGTATCATGCCAACAACTGGTTTTAGAATAAATGTGTTTAATTCTGATGCAAAGACCCTATAAGTGAATCAATATTAAAGCCAAAATATGCAATCTTTAATGACCTGACAACAGTATCGTAACTATATCCCTTCTTAATAAGTCTGTTTAAAGGTTTTGTTAGCTTTTGAGGTGAATACGGACATTTTTGTGCTTTGTAAAGAATATTACCAAAATTCGTAAGAGTTCCACGGAACCCAGTGTCTCGCCTACTTTTGCTGTTAATCGCAGGCTCAACAAAAATGAGGAAAAAAAATCAATAAAAATACTCCTTTAGATACTATCTTTTGATTGTAAGAAGCTTCTGTCAAAGTTTGGTATAAATCCTGGATAGTTTATGAATCTAATAAATGTTTTAAAAAGTTTAACTGCAGACTGTATTTAATATTAACAGAAAGAAAAACTAAGTCCATTTATAAGTAAAATACGGATAAACAGGTACAAATTTTAACAAAATTTCCTTCTAGATACTAGCTTTTGATCATAAACAAGCTTCTGTCCAAATTTGGTACAAATTCAGAATAGTTTAAGAAAGTTATTAAAATTTTAAAAACTTTAAACAGAGTGAAAATATTATTTCCTGGCAGAAAAACTAAGTCCATTTATAAGTAAAATACGGAAAAAATGAATTTTTTTTTTTAACAAATTTACTTCTGGATACTATCTTATGATCATAAACAAGCTTCTGTCCAAGTTTGGTAGAAATCCAGGATAGTTTAAGAAAGTTATTAAAATTTTAAAAATTTTAACCACAGAGTGAATGTATTGTTTCCTGGCAGAAAAACTAAGTCCATTTATAAGTAAAATACGGAAAAAATGAAATTTTTTTTTAACAAATTTACTTCTGGATACTATCTTATGATCATAAACAAGCTTCTGTCCAAGTTTGGTACAAGTCCAGGATAGTTTAAGAAAGTTATTAAAATTTTAAAAACTTTAACCACAGAGTGAATGTAATGTTTCCTGGCAGAAAAACTAAGTCCATTTACAAGTAAAATACGGAAAAACAGGAATTTTATTTTTACAAAATTTACTTCTGGATACTATCTTATGATCATATACAAGCTTCTGTCCAAGTTTGGTAGAAATCCAGGATAGTTTAAGAAAGTTATTAAAATTTCAAAAACTTTAACCACAGAGTGAATATTTGTGGACGCCGCCGCCGCCGACGACGACACCGACGTCGACAGAATGTAGGATCGCTATGTCTCGCTTTTTCGACTAAAGTCGAAGGCTCGACAATAAAAGATTGTATGTGAAATACCCGAACGTATAAGATATCTGCATGTTGAGTTATATTTACGAATAATGTCCTTATACCGATGATAAAATTTAGTAAATGTTTTGACTAGTTTATGATATCGAAAACCCTGGTGTAATAATTTTTCAGTAATACATAAATTTCTCTCGCTAAAATCTAATACGTTGTTACATACACGAGCGAATCGTACAAGTTGAGATATATAAACACCATAAGATGGTGACAAGGGAACATCACCATCTAAAAATGGATAATTAACGATAGGAAATGAAAAATCATCTCTTTTATCATAAATTTTTGTATTAAGCTTCCCGTTAATGATATAGATATCAAGATCGAGGAAAGGACAGTGGTCATTGTTAGTATTAGCTTTATTTAAAGTAAGTTCAACAGGATAAATTTCTTTAGTATACATACTGAAGTCGTCATTATTGAGAGCCAATATATCATCCAAATATCTAAAAGTATTGTTAAATTTTTGTATCAGATGTTGTTTCGATGGGTCTTTGCTGATTTTAGTCATAAATTGTAACTCATAACAATACAAAAACAGGTCCGCAATAAGTGGTGCACAGTTAGTCCCCATTGGAATTCCGATAACTTGACGATATACGGAATCTCCAAAGCGAACAAAAATGTTATCAAGTAAAAATTCAAGGGCAGATATAGTATCAAAGCATGTCCAATTGACATAGCTCTTTTGTTTGTTGCTACTAAAAAATGACCTAAAAGAGTTTGAACATATGTATTCGCATTCCGACTTTTTAAATGCCCATTAATTAGGTGTGTGAATTTTTTCTTAATAAGAATATGAGGCAAAGTGGTATATAGGTGTTTTGTTATAATAAGCATTGTGTATAAGTTTCATAACATTTGGTTGAGGCAAACTTAATTTAGAGAATGAAAACCAATTTTGGGACGTATGTACGTCTGGATAGACGTACATTCGGACAGACAGACGTACAGACAATGGTAACAAATAATATAAGTTCAGAACAACAAAATCCTAATGATATATCAAAGGTAGGAATAAGCTCACATATCCTGCAAACTATGGTGTTTCATCTTGAAAACAGTAAGAGGATTTCTAAGGGCAAAATATCACGGTGGATGGAATTGAAACACAATGCCCTTTGACTTACAGTGTTTGGGGCATAATTAATGTACAACTTTTAGCAAGTTTAACTCACCAATAATTGATTCTCTCAGATGAGACCATTTACTATCATTATCTCCTAACCAATGACCTATATACTTCCCACTTCCTGGAAATGTTGACCTAGATAACACCATACTCCTCTCACCAGTTGCTTTTCTTGTAGCCCTGTAAACAAATAATCACTCAACAACTTTGGAAGCTAATTTCTCTCTATGACCATGCAAGACCCACTTGGGTAGTAAAGGTCCTTAAACACCCCAGTAGTAATACGAATTTCTTCTGTACTGACCAATCCGGTTTAGGTTTAATAATTACTAATTATATGTTTAGCTGCTTTAAGATTAAAAAAATGTACTGATTTATCAAACTAAAGTTTTATATTGACTATTTACACATCCAGTGTTTTAGATCGCTAAGAATGTGTATACAGTTTGTATCTTTATTCACTCAACCTCTGAATAAGTCTAAAAATAGTCAAGAAAAGTTAGAACAAAGGATACAAATGGTTCTTCAAACAAATTATCTACAGACTGTGTACAATTAACCTATAGCTAACTTACTGAAGTGCAGGTAGTGACTGACTCCAGACATAAAGACTGTGTACAATTAACCTATAGCTAACTTACTGAAGTGTAGGTAGTGACTGACTCCAGACATAAAGACTGTGTACAATTAACCTATAGCTAACTTACTGAAGTGTAGGTAGTGACTGACTCCAGCCATAAAGACTGTGTACAATTTACCTATAGCTAACTTACTGAAGTGCAGGTAGTGACTGACTCCAGACATAAAGACTGTGTACAATTAACCTATAGCTAACTTACTGAAGTGTAGGTAGTGACTGACTCCAGACATAAAGACTGTGTACAATTTACCTATAGCTAACTTACTGAAGTGTAGGTAGTGACTGACTCCAGCCATAAAGACTGTGTACAATTAACCTATAGCTAACTTACTGAAGTGTATGTAGTGACTGACTCCAGCCATAAAGACTGTGTACAATTAACCTATAGCTAACTTACTGAAGTGTAGGTAGTGACTGACTCCAGCCATAAAGACTGTGTACAATTAACCTATAGCTAACTTACTGAAGTGTAGGTAGTGACTGACTCCAGACATAAAGACTGTGTACAATTAACCTATAGCTAACTTACTGAAGTGTAGGTAGTGACTGACTCCAGCCATAAAGACTGTGTACAATTAACCTATAGCTAACTTACTGAAGTGTAGGTAGTGACTGACTCCAGCCATAAAGACTGTGTACAATTAACCTATAGCTAACTTACTGAAGTGTAGGTAGTGACTGACTCCAGCCATAAAGACTGTGTACAATTAACCTATAGCTAACTTACTGAAGTGTAGGTAGTGACTGACTCCAGCCATAAAGACTGTGTACAATTAACCTATAGCTAACTTACTGAAGTGTAGGTAGTGACTGACTCCAGACATAAAGACCGTACAATTAACCTATAGCTAACTTACTGAAGTGTAGATAGTGACTGACTCCAGCCATAAAGACTGTGTACAATTAACCTATAGCTAACTTACTGAAGTGTAGGTAGTGACTGACTCCAGCCATAAAGGCTGTGTACAATTAACCTATAGCCAACTTACTGAAGTGTAGATAGTGACTGACTCCAGACATAAAGACTGTGTACAATTAACCTATAGCTAACTTACTGAAGTGTAGATAGTGACTTACTCCACCCATAAAGGCTGTGTACAATTAACCTATAGCCAACTTACTGAAGTGTAGATAGTGACTGACTCCAGCCATAAAGACTGTGTACAATTAACCTATGGCTAACTTACTGAAGTGTAGGTAGTGACTGACTCCAGCCATAAAGGCTGTGTACAATTAACCTATAGCCAACTTACTGAAGTGTAGGTAGTGACTGACTCCAGCCATAAAGACTGTGTACAATTAACCTATGGCTAACTTACTGAAGTGCAGGTAGTGACTGACTCCAGCCATAAAGACTGTGTACAATTAACCTATAGCTAACTTACTGAAGTGTATGTAGTGACTGACTCCAGCCATAAAGACTGTGTACAATTAACCTATAGCTAACTTACTGAAGTGTAGGTAGTGACTGACTCCAGCCATAAAGACTGTGTACAATTAACCTATAGCTAACTTACTGAAGTGTAGGTAGTGACTGACTCCAGCCATAAAGACTGTGTACAATTAACCTATGGCTAACTTACTGAAGTGTAGGTAGTGACTGACTCCAGCCATAAAGGCTGTGTACAATTAACCTATAGCCAACTTACTGAAGTGTAGGTAGTGACTGACTCCAGCCATAAAGACTGTGTACAATTAACCTATGGCTAACTTACTGAAGTGCAGGTAGTGACTGACTCCAGCCATAAAGACTGTGTACAATTAACCTATAGCTAACTTACTGAAGTGTATGTAGTGACTGACTCCAGCCATAAAGACTGTGTACAATTAGCCTATAGCTAACTTACTGAAGTGTAGGTAGTGACTGACTCCAGCCATAAAGACTGTGTACAATTAACCTATAGCTAACTTACTGAAGTGTAGGTAGTGACTGACTCCAGACATAAAGACTGTGTACAATTAACCTATAGCTAACTTACTGAAGTGTAGGTAGTGACTGACTCCAGCCATAAAGACTGTGTACAATTAACCTATAGCTAACTTACTGAAGTGTAGGTAGTGACTGACTCCAGCCATAAAGACTGTGTACAATTAACCTATAGCTAACTTACTGAAGTGTAGGTAGTGACTGACTCCAGCCATAAAGACTGTGTACAATTAACCTATAGCTAACTTACTGAAGTGTAGGTAGTGACTGACTCCAGCCATAAAGACTGTGTACAATTAACCTATAGCTAACTTACTGAAGTGTAGGTAGTGACTGACTCCAGCCATAAAGACTGTGTACAATTTACCTATAGCCAACTTACTGAAGTGTAGGTAGTGACTGACTCCAGCCATAAAGACTGTGTACAATTTACCTATAGCTAACTTACTGAAGTGTAGGTAGTGACTGACTCCAGCCATAAAGACTGTGTACAATTAACCTATAGCTAACTTACTGAAGTGTAGGTAGTGACTGACTCCAGCCATAAAGACTGTGTACAATTTACCTATAGCCAACTTACTGAAGTGTAGGTAGTGACTGACTCCAGCCATAAAGACTGTGTACAATTTACCTATAGCTAACTTACTAAAGTGTAGGTAGTGACTGACTCCAGCCATAAAGACTGTGTACAATTAACCTATGGCTTACTTACTGAAGTGTAGGTAGTGACTGACTCCAGCCATAAAGACTGTGTACAATTAACCTATAGCTAACTTACTGAAGTGTAGGTAGTGACTGACTCCAGCCATAAAGACTGTGTACATTGTATTGTAGAAGGTCATTACTGTCACCTTGCCTTGCCACCATACAAAGAGTCTTGTCAGAAATCTTAGCTTTCTCACCAAAAACATATGCTGCCTCTAAAAAAAAAGAAATATGTTCAGTCATTTCAAGGCTATGAAACACTGTAAAAACGAAAGTTTAAAACTTATTTAAATTATATTGTTTTATTGAAGTATGTATATTAAAATAATAAAAATCAAATTCTACATACAATGATTATAAAATCATCATATTGAAACTTTTCATAGAACATTAACTTTGGAGCCTTCTAAGGAAAAATTGTGAAAAAGAATCATTTCTGTGTTTTTTCAAATGTTATGCAAAATTTCTTACCAAAACATTTAATGGCATCAGAAAAAATCATCTTCTTTGCCAAACATTATTTCTTAAATGACATCCAAAACAAAAAAATAATCATCTTTTATTGTTAAACAAAATCTGACAGAATTTTTTTTAACAAGAAACAATCAAAAATAATTTCTTCATAAGCACATCTAATAAGAAATTAACATTTATGAGCAAGACCAAGGAGCAGGGATCATTATCATGCATGCAACTGAGATACATGGACACTGATGCCACAGTGCACCAAATATCAGTAATGTACCATAAGTCATAGAAATGAAAATAATCAACAAACTTTACATTAGGTCTTTTCAACAAATGTGCCTTTAATAAAATGGCAAAACTTTTTCTTCACTTTGTAATATTTGTCACAGGCAAGGTTAAAAAACCAAACAATCAATCTAAATTTTAGTGTCAATTATGAGATGCAGTATATTACATTTTATGCCAGTTATGAATTATATTTACTCGTTTTGTAAGGTGGATCATCAAAATCACCATGAGGACATTTCAGACTCCATTCATAAGTTGCATTCTGTGGCCAGTTCCATGGTTTATCCTCATTAGTTCCAAAATTTGCAGGTTCATTCATATCCTGAAGAAAAAGAATTATTTGGGATAAATGTCAATCTAAAAAACTTCTTTGAAACATATCTAACTAATAATTCAATATACCCCCTTCTTATGATATCACATGACCAATTATTGAATTTTAGCAATAAGATAAATTTGTTTTATAGGTTTGATAGCCCTCCTCTCATGATTTCTTCATTAATTAAATGACATTAATAAAATTGTCATCTGTTGAGGCCCTAAAAGGCAGTCTTAAATTTTGGCTACTCGTCTATTTTTCAAATGAAATACCTGTTTAGGAGCAGACCGGCAAAATCTAAAAATCTAGCTTATTTATATAACAGAACTAGTTAGTTTGTTTAATGTATATAAAAAAAAACTTCAAATAATCAAATTGCACTGGTAATTTGTACAAATTTTCAACAGGTCAACAATAAAATTCATAAGGGGTTCCGTGGAACCCTGTGTCTCGCCTACGATTGCTGCTTTCAGTGTAAAAGTGTAATGATGACTTCAAAAGTGAGTCCATTTATCACTAAAATACAGAATTCAAAAAAAAAATTCACAAATTTTCTCTTTAGATGCCATTTCTTGGTCTTAAAGATTAGCTTCTGTCCAAGTCTCATAACAATCCATGAAGGTTAACAAACTTATCATGTCAAAACAATTTAATCCCAGACTGTCTGTAAATGTTAACTGTAAAAAAACTATGTCAATCTATCAGACAAATACTGAAAATGAAAATATATTTTCAAAAGCTTGCTTTAGACATTATCTCTTAATCATAAAAAAGTTTCGTAAAATTCTATGAAGGTTTGACAAAGTATTTGATGTGTAACAAACTTTAACTCCATACTACATCTACTTGTTAAATGTAAAAAAAAACTAAGTCCATTTATTTGTAAAATACAGGAAAATGAAAATAAATATTTTCAAAATTTTGCTCTGGATACTGTATTTCCGTCATTAACAAGCTTGTGTCCAAATTTCATCAAATTCCATGTAGGTTTGACAAATTTATTGATGACTGAAAAACTTTATCCTCAGACTGAATCTAATATCAAATGTGAAAAAAACTAAGCCCATTTATCAGTAAAATACTGAAAAATGAAAATAAATATTTCAAAATTTTGCTCTGGATACAGTATTTTGGTCATAAACAAACTTCTGTCCGAATTTCATAAAATTCCATGAAGGTTTGACAAAGTTATCGATGTCTAAAAAAACTTTAACCACAGACTGAACCTAAATGTTGATGCCCCCGATGGCATCTAGGATCGCTATGTATCGCTTTCGCGACATAAATGTTGCAGGCTCAACAAAAATGTCACTGTCACTGTCACATATATTTCAACCTTATTAAGACATCCTTTGCAGGGATACAAAATAGTCTGCACAATGGAATTTAAAAGGCTGACATTTCATTTTTGCAATAGTTATTTATTTCAATAGATAAAAAATTTCACTTACTATCCATATAGCATCAAAAGAAAGATTTTGTCTGTGTTTCACAATCAAGTCTATCCATAATTCTTTTGTCTGGTTTTTAAAGAAATCTGGGAATACCACTTTTCCTTCTGGCCAAACCTAAAATATAGATAAAATGAGTGGAAAAATGGGATTCTTAGAAATCTATCTGACTGCAATAACAGAGGTTAGTAAACTACCATTCCCTTTTTAAGATTTTCTAAATGCCTTTTGTAAGAAAATGTATCCGTGTCTAAAAAAAAAATAGAAACTCAACCACAGCACATAAAATTAAAACATTTAAATAATTGTTTTAAGGAAAGCAAGACACTACAATAACTTTAGGTATCATTTTTTTAAATTCTCAAAAGTTTGTTATTGCTACAGGTTTTTTTGATAGTTAAAATCAAAATTCTCAGACCTTTGGTAAACCTAAGATAAGATAAAGTTACCAAGCAATTTTGATAACAAAAAATTTACAGCTAACAGTTTTTTTTACACATTTATAGGCAATCAAATCAACTTGAAAGAAAAGTTATTAACAGAAATGAAGAAAAGCAGTCCAAAGGTCATGTGACAGCAGCCCAAAACATAATAAAACCAAAAAGGCATCAAGAGTTTAAGAACACTATATTCAACAATAGTCAAGAGTCAGGTCAAACAGTGAATATATTTAACAGTGACTACAGAAGATTTGCCATAAACACTTAGTACCATGTAGGACAAAAGCATTTTAGTATTTTTATAAAACTACTGACAAGGTTCCTGAGCATTGACAGGAACAACAGCTTGTGACAGGGTTCACATAGCTTTTTTTATTTTAAATAAATTATCTTCCTCTTTTAACTGGATCAGTGGAATAGCAAAAGGTATAGAGAAAACAAAGATGATGCAAAACACTACTGCTATAATTTCAACACTGAATCAGAAAGCAACCAGTTTATCTTACATATCCTAGCATAGCACCATCTCCATCTTTGTAGTCCTCTACACCTTGTAGTTCCTGTGGCCACATCACAGCACCAGATATATCCTTCAGTCTGTCGTATGGCTCATATCCTGAAGTGTTTGTAATAAAACAAGGATCCTGTCAAAAAAATAAAAAATACAATTAATTCAAATATCTTGCAAATGTCAGTTGGTGTTTACTTGTTCATTTTTATTCGGCTTTTCTTCTTCAAGTTTCTTCAGTGTTATAAGATTCTGTTACAGTATATCTTAACAAACTAAGGTTTCTAATTAACAAATTATCTTATAAATAAAAAGTAATACAGCACACTCATAATGCTTATTTTTGTAACCTCAAAAATCCTATACTGAAATCAATTTCAGGATCAACCTTGGTGAGCTGAAATGCAGTATCCTTTCACATTAAAATGTTCTGTGAATGTGCATATCTTCATTTCCAAGATTCTGGTATTCAATGTGATCCTTTTAACTATCTTATTTTTAATTAAATTAAAAATATCAGAGGAAATTTTTTCAATGTAAAATTATATAGCCACATTTATACTGAGATGCCATTTTAAAAAAACATTTACATTATTGCATAACATAATGATTGATATTATGTTAATTTAATTCTTTATTTACTTTTTTACTTTGTTTAACACTTATATTGGACTAAATACAATACTAACAAGTATGATAATTGTATGCATGCCTTCTGCTTGTAGTTGTTTGAAGTAGGTATTAAGCCCTCCAAACTTTTCTTGGTCAATGGTAAAATCCATCTGTTTGTCCATGTGGTCAATATCTGCATACTGGACATCCTGTAGGAATGAAGTAAAAAAAAATAGATGCAGAAGCAATAATCCATGCAAATCTATAACCAGTTGTTCCCAGACTTTAGATCATATTTCAAAGCTTAACCATTGCTGCTTATTAGTAAATTTGTACATCAGATTTATTTTTGCATGCACACTCATTACTATCTACTATGTGTCCAATGAAACAATATCATTCCTAAAACTTGTTCCTGATTAGATCTGAATATCAATGCAAAACTGGATGTGATTTCTTTTTCAGAACATCCACCGTCCAACACTGGACAATCTGGTCAAGACTTATAGAATGCACTGCTCCTAGTAGGTGGATATATAAAATATAAAGGGTTGTTAAATATATCTGTATCATCATCCACCCGTTACAAAATAGAATTGAAGAGAGACTATGAAACGGGGAATATGTCAAAGAGACAACAACCTGACCAAAGAGCATACCATGCATCCTACAAAGTGCTGTTGTTAAATGGTCACATACCTATGTAGTTATACATGGGTTCCTTTTGAATAAAATAGTAAGGGCAACGTGATCCAGTTATTGCATGAACTAAATTAACATAAAATACTTATCTATCAACTAGAACTCAATCCAAACTCTTAGATTAATAGATGGACTGGATCTTGAAGCCAAACTTGAATGGAACAAGTAATCAAACATAATACTAGGATCATCACAGAAGGTATACTGATTACATTATTCTCAACATGAACTTAATGTGGTCTTATAAATCCGTGTATTAATAATACTTACATGTGGAATGTTATATGTTTTTGTGTTTTCAACAGCTGTTTCTATATCTTTCAAGTTTTTGTATCCATAACGACAAAGCTGGAAACCAAGGGCCCAGTATGGAGGCATAAATGGTCTTCCAATTAACTATCAAATACAAAAATCCTTATATAAAATTATCCTGTACTGAAATGTGTTTCAAAAAGTATATACTGAGTACCAATAGAAACACAACACCTACATGTATTTTCGTTTCAATAAAAAATTAATCTCAACAGATCTTCTTTGGAAGTTGACAAAGCATTGTAGGATTTTTCAGATCTTAGGATACATGCATAGAGAATATTTTAAATGATTTTCAGATTCTAACATTAAAAAATTCCATTTTTTTCTCCTCAAAAATTGAAGTTTGTACTTTTGATGAAATAAATGCAGATAAAAAATTATAATAAGAATCTAATAACCTTAGCATTTGGTCCAGTGTGATCAAATTTTAATGACCATCTGTGCTTTTGATCCCTATGAGACTTTTTGAACATTTCTTAACTGAAAAAAGTTAATGTAGACTACAAAAACTGCCATTATATATAGTCAACAGTGCTGAAAATGGCATTAAACACCAAAAATCAATCAATCAATCAATCCTAGTAGGAGTAACAAAGTCAACAAATTTCCTATATCGAAGACATGTTTTACAAACTGGTCTCTCCAAAAGTTTTATCAGGAATAGAATAAAAATAAGTCTCTAATAAATATTTAATCTGACATAAATGCATAAAAATGATTACACATAAATACAAAAGTTATCACAAGGCCAGTCCTATTTCTAATTACTTTTGATAATACCTCTGTGTATTGCTGTATAACATTTTCAGGTGATGGTCCCATGAAAACATATACATCTAGGATTCCTCCAATTGTTCTGTATGTTAACATTGGTAATGGTGTGAAGGAATATTCTGTATTTAAAGAGAAAAAAATGTTATAAACATTGTGGCTTAAAAGAGTTTAGTTACCTTACAGCAAACTTGAAGGGTTCACTGGGGAATAGTAATAAAATGATTACCTTGCTAGTCTCCAATCCAGTAGTAAAACTCATGCTAAAAAGGGACATCTGTTTTCCTGGGCAGGATGCATAAATATGCAGTCACATTCCGTTCAAATGGGCATGTTAATCTTATGTAGATGTAGTGTGACATTCTTTGCATAACATTTTGAGGGGTGCAGAGGTAGCCTGTTGAATTGTAAATATTCTGCCCATATCCAAAATATACTCTTTCCAGTGGCAATCTAAATCATCCCTGTCAAACTACTTAATAAATTTGTTGGTATCCTTTTCTCTCCTCCTGAATATGCATGAAATATTTGCCACTGGACAGTAACCAAACAATAATTTATTGATCACTTTACAGCAAGTAACTGACAAAACTTATATTATCATGTGTACATGTCTAGGTCCTGTCAGTGCAAAATCATTTCAAATGACCTCTCTAGTGCAAAACAAATATCGGTAAAGCTTAATCAAAGAATTAATTGTCCAAACATTCATAAAACTGTCAAGTAATTTTTTTGGGGTCTTAAATCAATATGGCATTGTAAATGTCTGGTGATACATCTATGAGGAAGCAATATTACATAACAAACTCCCTGAACATAAGCTTAAGTAACAAACGACAGTCCTTATCTCCACTTATAAGTATCCTTCTGCACAGCGAACAATTCATTCATAACACTTGTATTCAATCCATGTTAACATATCTTGCATAATATACAACTTTCTGTATGAGGTTATCTTTTTTCTGTAACTTATATCTAAGGCCAAAAAAATATAGTTGTTTCCCTTCCCTTCTACCTACCGTGAATTTTAATGGCTACCCCAACACATTTTATGGACAGTTCTTGTGAAGCGTCCAGAACATTTCCACATATAGTCTATGTAAAAATTTATGAAAAATAAGATCATTTTTCCTACCTATCTACCATATTTTTTATCTAACATGAGGCAATGGAAACAAGCATATATTTTTCAGGGCCTTACTCCATAATGGATACTTTTATGATACCTTTGTCAATAAATTATCAATACTAAAGTTCCTTGTCTTGTATAAACATAAATCCTTTAATCTAATTTTCAAACTGTCTCTCTAATATTTAATATAAAACTGATTCATACTGGTACATATTCTCAACCCAATAGATTTTGAGCTTATGATAAGACTGACTTTAATCATCATTGGGAATATTTCCCATGAGAATTTTACTTTTTAACTCATTTATAAATAATTGGAGAATGTGTCCATGGGACACAGATTATACCCCCACTTGTGAATAATTTTATAAAGGGACATAACTCAAGAACAGTTAAAGTGACACCACCCAAATTCCAACTTGACCTGAGTTTTATGGTAATAAGCATTGTGTTTAAGTTTCATAACATTTGGTTGAGGCAAACTTAAGTTAGAGAACGGAAACAAAAAATTCAGCAATTTTTCCATTTGTAAAGGGGCATAACTCTAGAACAGTAAAAGTGACGCCACCCAAATACAAACTGGATCTGTGTTTTGTGGTAATAAGCATTGTGAATAAATTTCACAGCATATGGTTGAGACAAGCTCTAAGTTAGAGAACGGAAACCAATTTCGGGACATACAGACGGACAAAGGGTAACACTAGAATGGTAAAAGTGATGCCACCCAAATTTGATTTTTGTTTTGTGGTAATAAGCATTACATATAAGCTTCATTAAAAATCTAAAAACAGATATAGATTTGGCATATCAAAGAACCCCAATAATTCAATTTTTGATGAATTCAAACAAAGTTTAATTTTGGACCCTTTTGACCTCAATATGAACCAACTTGATAGCAGGCCCACAAATAAAAAATCAAAATACATGGTTATATTCAGCATATCAAAGAAGCCCATATACTCAATTTTTGTTGAAATCAAACAAAGTTTAATTTTGGACCAACTTGAAAACTAGGCCAAAAATCTAAAATCTAAATACATGTTTAGATTCAGCATATCAAAGAACCCCAAGAATTCAATTTTTGTTGAAATCAAACAAAGTTTAATTTTGGACCCCAACTTGGACCAACTTGATAGCAGGCCCACAAATAAAAAATCAAAATACATGGTTATATTCAGCATATCAAAGAAGCCCATATACTCAATTTTTGTTGAAATCAAACAAAGTTTAATTGTGGACCAACTTGAAAACTAGGCCAAAAATCTAAAATCTAAATACATGTTTAGATTCAGCATATCAAAGAACCCCAAGAATTCAATTTTTGTTGAAATCAAACAAAGTTTAATTTTGGACCCCAACTTGGACCAACTTGAAAACTGGGCCCATAATCAAAAATCTAAACACATGTTTAGATTCAGCATATCAAAGAACCCCAAGAATTCAATTTTTGTTAAAATCAAACTAAGTTTAATTTTGGACCCTTTGGACCTTAATGTAGACCAATTTAAAAAACAGGACCCAAAATTAAAAATCTAAATACACGGTTAGATTTGGCATATCAAAGAACCCCAATAATTCAATTTTTGATGAAATCAAAAGAAGTTTAATTTTGGACCCTTTTGACCTCAATATGAACCAATTTGATAGTGGGGTCCACAAATAAAAAATCTAAATACATGGTTAGATTCAGCATATCAAAGAACCCCATATATTCAATTTTTGTTGAAATCAAAAAAAGTTAAATTTTGGACCCCAACTTGGACCAACTTGAAAACTGGGCCCATAATCAAAAATCTAAACACATGTTTAGATTCATCATATCAAAGAACCCCAAGAATTCAATTTTTGTTAAAATCAAACTAAGTTTAATTTTGGACCCTTTGGACCTTAATGTAAACCAATTTAAAAAACGGGACCCAAAATTAAAAATCTAAAAACACGGTTAGATTTGGCATATCAAAGAACCCCAATAATTCAATTTTTGATGAAATCAAACAAAGTTTAATTTTGGGGCCTTTTGACCTCAATATGAACCAATTTGATAGTGGGGTCCACAAATAAAAAATCTAAATACATGGTTAGATTCAGCATATCAAAGAACCCCATATATTCAATTTTTGTTGAAATCAAACAAAGTTTAATTTTGGACCCCAATTTGGACCAACTTGAAAACTGGGCCAAAAATCAAAAATCTAAATACATGTTTAGATTCAGCATATCAAAGAACCCCATTTATTCAATTTTTGTTAAAATCAAACTAATTTTAATTTTGGACCCTTTGGACCTTAATGTAGACAATTTGAAAACTGGACCCAAAATTAAAAATCTAAATACAAGGTTAGATTCGGCATAACAAATAAATAAATGTGGTCAAAGATTTTACAAATCTAATGCGCCATACTGTGCAATTAAAGATTACTTCTTGAAATTTTTCAATATTTGAAATTTGAAAAAAAAATAATATTTGAAGAATAATTCTTTTTAATTTCTGAAATCTGAAATGAGAAAAAATTGACCCCCCACAATTTCTTTTTACCCCCCACCCCCCTTTTTTCCCCAAAAAAATTCTTTCCCTCAAGATATGGTCATAATCTCAATTCAAATTTCAAATGGAGTTTGCAACCTTAATTACCCATTTAAATTTACCATAGTGTTAACTTAATCTATTTTATAATAGAATTTAAAATATAGTGTCAAATCTTTCATATGGATTTTTTTGTAAAAAAAAAGATGCAACATTTGCAGATATTTTTACTGGTCTTCCTTTATAAATATGCATTTCTTTAAACATAATTTAAAAGCAGTGTAAGGGAAGTAACCAAAACGTTGTATTTGGATTACCTCCCTTACACTGTTTTAAATTATCTTAATTGTTCTTTAACCATTACTTTATACATAATTTAAAAGCAGTGTAAGGGAGATAATTTCAATGATGTATTTGATTTATCTCCCTTACACTGCTTTAAATTATGATTTGTACTAAAGTATTTGTCCATAAACCAAGACAACCTTGTTTTCCTCCCTTTTTTGCCCCTAATTCCGAAACGGTTTGAGCCATAACCCCCCAAAGCAAATCCTAACCATCCCTGTGTGGTATGGAAACTTGTAGTATAATTTCAAAGAGATCCATACACCGTTCCACAGTTATTGTCTGGAAACTAGAAAATGCTTATTTTTGGCCCCTTTTTGGCCCCTAATTCCTTAACTGTTGGTACCATAACCCCCAAAAGCAATCCCCACCTTCCTTTAGTGGTATTGAACCTTATGGTAAAATTTCAAAGAGATCCATTCACTTAAACTAAAGTTAGAGCGCGAAAACCAATGTGTCTTCGGACGTTGACGACGACGACGCCAACGTCATACCAATATACGACCGCAAAAATTTTTTGCAGTCGTATAAAAATCGATTTGTACCATCGATATGTGATGAAATTATGAGGTTGTCAAGAAACGAACTTTGTGATAATTTACTCGTTCCCCAAACCTGAAATAATCCCATCATCTACTTTCAAAACGCTTTTTAAATGAATGGGACCGTCTTTTGAACAGATATATCATGTTATGGAGGGGTATTTGTGAAAAATACCAGTCGAGGGACTGTTAAATTTCCCGAGCCACTAGGCAAGGGAAATTTGGTCCCAAGACTGGTATTTTTTGCAAATACCCCTCAATAACATGATATATCTGTTTAATTACACCGAATAGATTTTGATTGAAACTCTCTGTACTGGTGAAAGGAATATTTTTTTACTAGTAAGCTGTAATCCATAAACATGTTTATGCATAATTGTTTGAGGATAAGTAGAGACTATCATAATACCGCGGGAATTATACATGTACTTATACGCGTTAGCGCTGTCTTGATGTAACGTCATATCCTAATGATTTTGGAGGGAAGAAGCCCGCGAGGGTAAAAAAGGAATATCCAAAATGGCAAATACCACGGCATAGAGGGGAATTTGAGGCAAATTCACAGGCAGTGGTGAAAAACATGCAAATTCGTTTGAAATGAGAAAAAAAGGTTAGAATATGCGAAAAATACACTGGCTACCAACCAATCAAAATCCAGCATTCTTATAGAAGGTGTAATTAAACCTAAAATATATACTGAACGTTTCAGCTTGTTTATGGTGAGTAAACCTACGTCTTACAAACAACTGTTTACTTTCAGTTTGAGTTTATCATGACTTACGATCTAAAATCTAGAGACGTTCCGAAATCCTGTTTTGTAAACAAAGATTCATACGCACCACGTGGGTATAACCGTATTACTAATTTCCGATTTTTAAAATCTTCGTAAATCTGGATAAAGACCAGTTTCTATCCAATGGATATCAAAATGATTCCGATTTGCACTTTTTTTCATGATTGTAAAGTTGAAATGGCATGAAAGGCTGACATTATTTAGGAGAACTATTTTGTCTAGCGATTGCTGATCATTTGAGGGTAAAAAGTCCAACACCATAACAAAACGGATCTATTTATCATGTATACATACCGATTGTTTACGATTGCAAGACATGTGCATAAAAGTGAAAGCTCGAATAAATATGAAAAATATAACAAAGGGATAGCTCCAAATACCATTTAATAACAAAAAACATATGGACAGGTCATTATATCTTTTTGGTAAATAAAATAAAGTATGTAAACTGGTTCCCTTCGAGTGTAGCGTAATACAAGCAGATTCCAGTTAGTATGTAAAATAGTAAATATGAAACCGAGTGCGGTAGGTGGAGGCAATAATCGACTTCCCTAAGTTCTGGTCAATGGTATCGGAAACATGCCGCTGATAGCGTCATTTTCCAAAAATGAAAAAAGTTCAGCTATCTCCCAAAAGAGCAAATATTAATAAATATCAAAACCCTGAACACATGCACACCTTCAATATATGTACAAACAGCCAGCAAAGTGAAAACTTCCTGGCATTCAAACTGTAGGAGGAGTTTTCTGGAAACGCTATGCACCTCTTATGCAAGAAAATACTAAAAAAATTACAAAGTTCAACCATCTCCCAAAAGAGCAATTATTAATAAAAATCAAAACCCTGACCACATGCACACCTTCAATATATGTACAAACAGCCAGCAAAGTGAAAACTTCCTAGCATTCAAAGTGTAGGAGTTATCTGGAATAACTATATACCCATAATGAGACGAACAGAATGACGATGGATGGACGGATAGACGGAAGAATGGACAAGGGTAAAACAATATGCCAATAAGGAAATTGAGTCTACATGCATAAGATACAATCCCCTGCTCACTATCACATTTCCATGTTTAATGAACCACAAACTATGCGGTCAAACCTCTTAATTTGGCATGTGTTTCAAAACTTTCACATCATAATGAACATGCACACCAAGTTTCAAGTTGATGTGACATTACCCTTCAGAGTAAACTACCTTGAGCCAAAACTTAAGCTTGTTACAGACTAACTGACAAACAAGCTGACAGATGCACATCCTGGAAAACATTGTACCCCCTTCTTATCGTAGGCAGGTCATAAAATGTGATTACATTACCTTGAGCATTACTGTTCAGGAAAAAGACGCCATGAGTATTTCCTACTCCATCTTCCACACATGTGTAGAAAGGGTGAACACCATACAAATTGGCCATCTCCTACAAGGCAAGAAAAAATATTACTTGTTTTCTCTCTGCAAATATTATTCCATTGGATACAATTATACCATGTAGTATTTGATTTAATTAAATTTTCATGTGTGTACTTGATCTCTATGTAACAATATGTAACCTGCCCAAAAAGAGCACATTCAATGCCTTTGTAACTGCTGGTTAAAATAGATCTGTGAAAGGAATGGGGCAGCTATTATTATTATGTTGTGGCAGCAGTATATGGCAAAAAATATAATTTCTCTACATAGCCCATGGTGAATACATTTGATACTTGATGTTAAATGGCCAACGCTAGCAAATAAAATAAGGTTGTTAAACTGCTGAGAAATCTAAGAAAAACTGATGATGACAAATATGATTAAGTAATTGCTGAGAGATACACTACCTGGGAAAAAAATATTAATTAATTTGTCATGTTCATTTGATTGGCAAAAGTATTGAAAAATCATCTGTCATAGAACGAGGATGCATATTTTAGATTTGTAGTAATATACAATCTTGATGAAAGGAGGCTAGCTGGTTAATTTCTCACAACTAGTACTTGCATATTAAATTTCCTGGTCTAATTGGGACCATCAAATTTCCAAAGGTGGCTCTTTAAATTATTTCTTTGGAAAGACTAGTGGCTATATGTCCCCAAACATCTGTAGACTGTTAAACTTTCAATGAAATGTAGTCATTTCTTTGCCCTATAATTGTTAACTTAAGTCTTTTTATACATTGTGACTTGGATGGAGAGTTGTCTCATTGGCACTCATACCACATCTTCTTATTTATAATTAGTTAATGAGGAGGTGAATTGATGAAAGTGTAGATGAACAAACAGATACAGTTGTCATTCTATATCTTGCAACTTGGCAATTAAAGTCTTGTTTGTAAGAGGACATACATCCACTTCATTAGAACTATGGTAGATAGTTGTCTCATTGGCAATCATACCACATCTCCTTATTTTCATATTGTGATAAAATTTCATTGAAAAATGTACTCTGACAGCATGAATTAATTTAAATATGCATCAAAATAATACATGCAATACCCAATCATGAAAATCATGTAGATTTTCATTTTCATTGTTTCAAAATTGTCTTATAAAATAAAAAGAAGTATAATATTCCATATATTGGTTTTTTTTAGCCTATGTTTAATTTTGTTTTGTTTGTAGCAACTAAAGAAACATGAAAATTTTACAATGCATAAATTTCCCCACGTATTCCAAGATTTAATTTATCGTTGTTTGAAAGTTTCATTCATTATACTGTTAATTATCGAGTCTTTTTTGTTGTTCAACAGATTAAAAGAATGTGCACACCTACTATTAAGATCTCTGTTTTCAGAATAATTAAATTGGGTGATCATACATGTCACACCTTTTGACAACATAGCGATCAGTGACATGTTAAAAATGCTTTAAATTAGCAGCAATCTATTGATAGGTGTCATAACCCGAACATTTTGCCTATAACTTAAAACTGAAATTGAAATAAATCACTTTCACACAGATATTCGTATTTCGATCTATAATTATCAAAACTTTCAATTTTTTGCATATGCTAATATAGTCCAAATAATTATGACGTCTTGAAAGGCTATTAAGAACAAAAATATAATAGCCTTTCAAGACGTCGTAATTATTTGTACTAATGCTAATAATGTACAAGTATACGTAGTCATGCAACTGATAGATAACCAAATCAAAGATGTGTTTAAATTCATAGTCTCAGATGCATAACTACATTTGGATTTCAATAATTGTTTACTCGGACCTAGTATACACACCACACAGTAAAATCATTATGATATTCAATGACTTGGGAATATGCTTTGACATTGGCTTGGAACGCCGTTGGAAGTTACGCTTGTCAGAGAAAGTTTTCCCGCTAGATTAAACAGATTACGTTCCCTTACAAGTTACAACCAAATCCTACAATGAACAGATCACAGTAACGGACGCATTGACCGTAAAATACATAACAAATATTCAACATACTACCTGCTTCAGTAAATCCACCGTTCTCGTATACGAATGTTTCTGGTAGAAAAGAGTCCTTTTGCTTCTTCATTTTTCCGTATATTTCAAATAAACGATTTGTTTTTATTATTTTGGGATCTCTGCGACACTTGTAAGCTCTTTTATTGTTTTTTTTTTCTACACAGTAAAGCAACTTGACTCAAGCTAGCGAGCAATTGTAGCGAACAATTAGCCAGCGAACAATTAGGAGGTATAACTAAAAACCATAATTTCACATAAGACAATCACGTTTTTTTTCGAGCTAGCGAACAATTACAGAGACCTAGTGGACAATTATGAGAATATTATTCAAAATATTAAACAAAAACGAATAAAAAAAAATAAAACAAAAGGGATACCATAAAGATTTTGACCAATTTATAGAGATTGTCACAGGCAACGACTGTAAATGTAACATAGAGGAGACATTATCGTATCTAATAAGACAAACCCCAGAATGGTTTATGTTTAAAAATCTGAAGTTAAGTTTAAAAAACTGAAATTGTAAAAACGAAAAGGGAGGAGGGGGCATACATTAAGTTGATTTTTGACCCATTTATAGAGATTGTGACGGTACACGACTGCATTATAGGTGATACATTAGCGTATCTACTAGGACAAACTCCAGATTGGTTCATGTTAAAAAATCTGAAGTTAGGTTGAAAAAATTGTAATTAAAAACGAAAAGGGGGGATACCTTAAGTTGATTGTTGACCCATTTATAGAGATTGTGACGGGCAACGACTGCCTATAGGTGATGTAAAGGAGACATTGCCGCAACGTTTAGGCCAATTTAAGTTAATTTTGGACCAATTTTAAGAGATTGTGACGGACAACGACTATATAGGTGTTGTAGACGAGACATTGGTGCATCGTATTAGAAAATCTCCAGAGTGGTTTATGTTAGAAAATCTGAAGTTACGGTTAAAAAAACTGAAACTTTTATTGTGAAATTGACAAAATGAGATTAGGGGGGTAGGGCACTAAAAGAAAAATTTGGACCATTTTAAAGAGATTGTGACGAGCATCGACTATATAGGTGTTGTAGAAGAGACATTGGTGCATCGTTTAAGAAAATATCCAGAGTGGTTTATGTTCGAAAATCTGAAGTTACGGTTAAAAAACTGAAATTGTGAAATTGACAAAATGAGATTAGGGGGTAGACCAATTTAAGTTAATTTTGGACCAATTTCAAGAGATTGTGACGGGCAAAGACTATATAGGTGTTGTAGAGGAGACAATGGCGCATCGTTTAAGAAAATCTCCAGAGTGGTTTATGGTCGAAAATCTGAAGTTACGGTTAAAAAAATGAAATTTTATTCTGAAATTGACAAAATGAGATTAGGGGGGTAGGCCAATTTAAGTTAATTTTGGACCAATTTTAAGAGATTGTGACGGACAACGACTATATAGGTGTTGTAGAGGAGACATTGGTGCATCGTATTAGAAAATCTCCAGAGTGGTTTATGTTAGAAAATCTGAAGTTACGGTTAAAAAAACTGAAACTTTTATTGTGAAATTGACAAAATGAGATAAGGGGGTAGGGCACTAAAAGAAAAATTTGGACCATTTTAAAGAGATTGTGACGGGCAACGACTATATAGGTGTTGTAGAGGAAACATTGGCGATGCTGCATCGTTTAAGAAAATCTCCAGAGTGGTTTATGTTTGAAAATCTGAAGTTACGGTTAAAAAACTGAAATTGTGAAATTGACAAAATGAGATTAGGGGGTAGGCCATTTTAAGTAAATTTTAGACCAATTTCAAGAGATAATGACGGGCAACGACTATATAGGTGTTGTAGAGGAGACATTGGCGCATCGTATTAGAAAACATCCAGAGTGGTTTATGTTCGAAAATCTGAAGTTACGGTTAAAAAAACTGGAACTTTTATTGTGAAATTGACAAAATGAGATTAGGGGGGTAGGGCACTAAAAGAAAATTTTAGACCAATTTCAAGTGATTGTGACGGGCAACGACTATGTAGGTGTTGTAGAGGAGACATTGGCGCATCGTATAAGAAAATATCCAGAGTGGTTTATGTTTGAAAATCTGAAGTTACGGTTAAAAAACTGAAATTGTGAAATTGACAAAATGAGATTAGGGGGGTAGGCCAATTTAAGTTAATTTTGGACCAATTTCAAGAGATTGTGACGAGCAACGACTATATAGGTGTTGTAGAGGAGACAATGGCGCATCGTTTAAGAAAATCTTCAGAGTGGTTTATGTTCGAAAATCTGAAGTTACGGTTAAAAAACTGAAAATGTTATTGTGAAATTGACAAAATGAGATAAGGGGGGTAGGACACTAAAAGAAAAATTTGGACCATTTTAAAGAGATTGTGACGAGCAACGACTATATATATTGTAGAGGAGACATTGGTGCATCGTTTAAGAAAACATCCAGAGTGGTTTATGTTCGAAAATCTGAAGTTACGGTTAAAAAAACTGAAATTGTGAAATTGACAAAATGAGATTAGTGGGGTAGACCAATTTAAGTTAATTTTGGACCAATTTCAAGAGATTGTGACGAGCAACGACTATATAGGTGTTGTAGAGGAGACAATGGCGCATCGTTTAAGAAAATCTCCAGAGTGGTTTATGTTCGAAAATCTGAAGTTACGGTTAAAAAACTGAAAATTTTATTGTGAAATTGACAAAATGAGATTAGGGGGATAGGGCACTAAAAGAAAAATTTGGACCAATTTCAAGAGATTGTGACGGGCAACGACTATATAGGTGTTGTAGAGGAGACATTGGCGCATCGTATTAGAAAATCTCCAGAGTGGTTTATGTTCGAAAATCTGAAGTTACGGTTAAAAAAACTGAAACTTTTATTGTGAAATTGACAAAATGAGATTAGGGGGGTAGGGCACTTAAAGAAAAATTTGGACCATTTTTAAAAGATTGTGACGGGCAACGACTATATAGGTGTTGTAGAGGAAACATTGGCGCATCGTTTAAGAAAAT